ACAAGTGATCTGAAAGAGTCGCAGTGGAATAGGCCAAAAGGCCACATCTCTAAATCTATCTATCTACCTATAAAACTAAATACGAAATTTCTTTTTCTTCGTTTTCTCAAATATTCTAATTTTGGACTTATGCTATTGAAGTAATGTATCGATATGTCATTGATATGTAACGTTGTTTAAAGAATTTTAGTTGTTTTGGATTTGTCTCAAGCTGACCCACTACTTGGGCCAGGTTGAGACAAAAAAGTTTTTTTTTTTTTATTATTGGCTTTAGGGTAAATACCCACACAACCAGACACACATTTTTAAAAACAGATACAATACAAAGATTACACTCTTCTCGCCCAGGGCCGATCAGGACATTTTTATAAACGATAAAAGGTAGGCCTCGGACAGATAGGTATACATACATTAAGGAAAGACATCAGGTATCAACAAAGGTAGTTATATTTGTATATTCGTTGTTCTGACGAAAGACAGCAAACAATCGTAAATAAAGTATTTATAAAAATAATTAAAAAAACTAGTTTTTTATTACAAAAGATTTTTGTTTGACTTTAAATAGATTTAATAATTGCATTTTAAATTTGAACTAAAAAAAATCGGTAAAAAACAGGTCAAAAATATCTCAAGCTTAAATTTAGATTATCCACTCTAAAAATTAGTTTAAGGGCCGATCCTCGCGATTCTGGGCATACGTAAATTCCAATGTAAAAGTTTATATCAAATAACGCAAAAACTATGGCAGATATTGAGATGATTCTTTTTTTATATGGAAGGTCTAAAAAAGTTCTAGTGCACTATTTGGTTGTAAATTAATAAATTGTTTAAACAATATTTTTTTTTTAAATATTTTTGGTTAAAATAAACGTAAAATTTTTTTTTTTAAATAGGGCACTACAGAATTTGACCCACTTTCCGAATCTGTTTTTATTTTTAACATAATAGTGTATAACACAAAGCAGCTATTTGATATAAACTTTTAAAAAATTTCAAATTTCTGCTAAATGCAATTTTCTCTCCGTCAGCACAGGGTGTCCTTGTCGGTAGCTTTGGATTCTCGCCAGGTAGGTAAAAACCCTCGGAGGAGGATAAATAAGTTGAATAACATTATTAGGGCTCATTTCGACTTTTGACAAACCAGTGTGTTTATTGTATTTAAAATAGGAAATTTTATATAAATAAGCAGTAAAGTACCTATAATTTTATTAAATTTTTATATGAATAGAAATATTTTCTGTTGATTTTCCATTTTCCTTCTAAATATTTATACTGTTTTTATAATAATACAATTGTTTCAGTATTTGCTTATATAATAATAATTTATTATATAGAAACAGCGTAGAGTTTTGGTCAATCATCCAGTACATTTTTTTTTTGTATTTCAATCAGAATTATTATTTCCTTTTCTTCTTTACATGAGCTCAGAGTAATAACCAAATATTTTGCAGTATTTGAATTATGAAATTTAATTATTTATATTTATTGCTCAGCAACCTACCAATCGTAAAATCAAATACTGCTCAAAGAAACAATGTACAGTCTCGGAACGGATTGTTACTATGAAGACGACTACGGCAAGAAATAAGGACAAGCGAAAAACATCCAAAACCCAGATGAGAACTACTTTGAATATCAGATCACTCAACTCAAGGGACCAAGAAATAACCTATGTGTTGAAAGAGAAAGAAATAGACATTTGTGCTCTTACTGCAAACAAAAAATAAAGGAAAAGGTCAATCAAAATTAGGTGAATACATACTAATCTACAGTGGAGTAGCAAAAGAAAACAGGGCCAAAGAAGGGTGTAGCCTTAATAATACACCAAAGGTATCAAAATTACATCAAAGAGTGTCAATACATATCAGAAAGAATAGTAACATCAAAGATAAGAATGGAGAAGGAAAACCTGAAACATTATCGGAGTATACGGCCAGAAAATAATAAGCCTCAAACAACAAGGGAAGTGTTTTACGACCAATTACAACAAGTAGTAGATCAAGTCAAAGAAAAGATGATACTTCACAGCTAATTTGATTATAATAATTAGGGAACCTCATTTTTTGCCATGTTAACGAATAGGATTTGTATTTTTTGTTAAAAATTTGCACAAACATTGTACCTTTACAGGACCCTCTACGAATTTTTAAAATGTAGTTCAAATGGTGACTAGGAAGAACCTACAAATCCATACCGAACAAGCAATTTCAAACTAATAAAATTTTCTATATTTTCGGATCTACTCAATGGATTTTGATCATTCTTTTTTTAATTTGTATGTAATTTCTACGTACATTAGAAATTAGTAATTTGTTTATATATTAATTAATTAATAAATAGTCTAGTTTGTTTAAACAATTTCGTGCAAACAATTTTCTTCCAAAAATCTATTTTTTTTAATAGTAGTATCAATAATCATAGAAACAGTCGCGTTTTTTGCATTAAATTGTCAATAATTCAAAACAGCTGCAGATTCAAGGCAAGAAACAAGTAGGTTTTTTTCCTAGAGGTCTACAATAACTAAAAATTTGTCAGCGACCATGGATTATTGAGTGTCACGAACATGGTCTATTTTTTTGCTTATTTCCCTGGAGTATATATTTGATTAACATCTGTGTAATTTCTTTGTCGCTTCCTTGCTGGTTTTGCACATTGCTATGATAGCAATATCTTCGGTAAATGTTGCAATTGTATATTTTCTTAGGACAATAATTACAACACGTATACAAAAGGTTAAGACACTTCTTTGTGGCAGCCCTGCTGTAATATCTGTCAATTCCATGTATGTTTCTTCCTGTTTAATTCTGATAATATCTTTCCAAGATGCAGGAGTCAATTATTTGAGAGGATCGTTTTGGTAAATGTAGTCTTAGTTTATAGTTTCTGGCGCCTTTGCCATACTTTATCATATTCCTGAGTCACATCTTAAATTATTGATATAAGGTTGAATGCTCGAATAAATGAACTTTAAAAATGAAGGCAAATTTCGAGCACAAATTTAAAAATCTAATCTTGCCCAAGTACTTTTCGCTTTCTACAGCATCATCAGGGTCATCTGCGCTTGCTGGATAGCGTAAATTTGACGAAGTAAGTCTAAAATGTTAATCACAAAAAACTTTTATCATCCATTAACTTCGAGTTTTTTATCAAAGTTTATTAATTTTCTTCATTTAAAATAAACTTTTCTTGGCTTATTTCAGATGCCCCTGATGATGCTGTAGAAAGCGAAAGTACTTTTGCAAGATTTGATTATTAAATTTGTGCTCGATATTTGCCTTAATTTTTCAACGTACATCCTAAAACGTCCATCATATTATCCTTCATGATCCATATTTCACATCCATATAAATAGTTATACAGTTATATTTCATCATCAATCTCATCATCAATGGGCGCTACAACTCTTCGTAAGTCTTTGCCGCGGTTACTATTGCCTTCCATGTTTGTCGGTCCTGTGCCAGTAATTCCCATTGTCGCACTACCATTTTCTCTAGATCTAGGAGTATATTTACATATAACAAATTAAATCCTTAGTTGGAAATTTTTGAAATAAGTATCTCAGTATACATCTAAGTTTCATTAATGCTCCTCATAAATCTCATAAATCTAAACTTTTGTACTCCGTTCTTTATCGACAATTAGTTGCATAGGGCCGACATTTACTAACCACAAGCACACAAGTAAATTATCTTATTTCTTTCATTTGACAATAATAATTGTCTGTTAGATTAGCATTGTAAGAAGTAAATTAGCCTCTTACTGAATGATAATAAACAACACATCAAACTTATTCTGAAAACTATTTCTTGTGTCATGGTATATTTTATTAGATTTTGGTGTAATAAATCACAACCTATCAAATTCAATATCAAAAATCAAAATTGGAAATGATAGCGTAATTAAATTATTCCTTCCTTCAAGAAATTTTAAAAAGAACTGATTTCTATTACATAATCATAGACATAATTCTATATTTATATCGTTTCATTTTATCAATTTTAATGATCGCGATACTAATCAAATTTTTATGATATATAATAATAATCTTTTCCGCAAATCGCCAGGAAATTTTGACATTCCTGTCAAAATTTCTTGAAGAAAAAGTCAGGACTTCCTTACTGTAAGGAAATGTCATTTCCTTACTGTAAGGAAATGATATTTCCGTACAGTTGTTAGTGTTATACCAGCAATTAAATTTATAAGCGTCAAGTTTGACAATTCAACCTCAATACGTTCCATAGTAACCCAAGTAATTTTATTAGGATATTTCAAAGCACCATTTATTTGGGAATAAAATTATCGCGTTTTTTTTTAAATCAATCAATATCTGTCGAATTTTAAACGATTTGCGGAAAAATAGTATGTTTACCTCGTAGGAAAAGCCACATTCCTGGACTCTGTATTGCTAAGTCTCGGCTTGCGCCTCGACTTAGCAATCTTCACAGTCGTCCAGGAACGTTAAGCTTTTCCTACCCGGTAAACAATGTACTATTTTTTATAATTTTTATTTTCCGTAAACTTTAATCTACGTTAAACTTCAGACAGCCAATTTTTTCCGTAAAAAAAATAACAAATAAATTATGTATGTACATTTGTTACATTGTAAATTTATGATAGATTATATTACTTTGATCTGTTATTATATTTACTCAAAAGACCACTAAAGAGATTTATGGTCTGATTGTAAGCCAAAACCTGTCACTGCAGGGGTTGTCTCGGTGTATAATCGGCTCGAGTAAAAGGTAAACGCATTTTTGACCTGGGCTTGAGAAAGATACGAAGTTTAGAATATTACTTCATGACAGATTTGTTTTCGTAAAGAAAGAAATTTTTGAATAGAGATAGCAAACTGAAATTTACCGTTAGGATTATCGAGGATGGGCCTTAAAGCAGTTTTTCCTACAGCAGTTTAAAAACAGTTTTTTATGATTAACTCAATCCTATAATTTCTGACTCTAGTTGTTTCTGAAATGACCGATTAATTTAAATAACACACCTACCTTTCAGAAATTGTGGTTTCATCACTATCCTTTCCGTGGCAGCAAAATTCATAAGATCGTCATTAAAACTTGTACTACACGTCGAATCTTTTCTATTTGAAACATTTCTAGGACTTCCTGATTTATCTTGCACTTTAGACTTAATTTCAATATCTATATTGTCGAGGTTTATTTTAACTTTTAAGTCCTCTTCATGTTTGCTTTTTGTCAGTTTTGGTAAATCTAATTTTTGTTGTATTAACCGCTTTGGATGTTTTGCCTTATTCACCAATTTATCTTCCGCTTTCCGTTTGGTTATATTATCAACAATTTCACTAGTTTTCTCAGACTCTATTTCTGTATCTGGGTTCGTTCTAAGTGATTGCTTATCTGGTTGAATTTTCTCTGTTGTTTTTTTACTTTCTGTGACATCAAAGTTGTCAGTTCCCTTTTCTTTGGAGTTCTGTTTTATGTTTGTGCTATCTATAAGTTCCGCAGTATCCTCGGACCTCTTTCCGACCTTCACGTTCTTTTCATAGACTACTTCAACTGATTGTTCCGTTTCTTGGGATTCAGTTACCTGTTCGTCTAGGTTCGGTTTTAATAATATACTGTTCACAGCTTCGACAGTTTCTTTAATGTCTATACTACAGCGTTTCTTTAAAATGATTTCTTTCACAACTTCATCAGGATCCTCAAAATATCTTTTTCGTTTTTTTTTCATTTTCTTGTATTTTGAGTGTATCGGAATTAGATTCATGTATACATTTTTCTATAGATTGTTTATTGTTTTTACTCATTTCGATAAATTCGCTAATTTCATCTATAGTATTTTTTTGCGTATTAGATTTCCCTTCAGCTAGATGTGTTTGCGGCTTTTCAAGATTCTTAGATATCGTTTTACTACTATCTGCTATTTCATCATTTTTCTTGTCATCTTTCTTTTCTATCAATATCACTTTTTGATTGGAACCAGATCCTTGGTTTGTTACTTTCTCTTCGATTTTTTTACTATCTACATCAGTTTCTTTCGTTTCTGTCGAGTTCCTTGTATTTAATTCCTTCTTATTTATCTGTTCTTTAATCACCTTCTCCTTTGGTCTTACGAATGAGGATTCTCTGTTAGTACGGTTTCACAAACTGTAATAGGATCTATGACAGTTTTTGAATTCCCTTCGATATTTGTATTTTTATCGACTGTACTTTTTGCTAATACTTTGTCGGCAATCGTTTGTTCTTTATCGACAGGAATATTCGATTCTGATTTATTCCCGCTGTCTATGTCATGTTTAGTAGTATTGTTCGAAATTATTTTAGGATCCATATCAACTAATGTACACAGTTCAGTTTGTTTTAGATGGATAATAACCTCAGCTCCTATAGATTCCAAATAGAGCTGTCCTATATACTCGACTTTGTGATCATTCTGTAGTATAATTTGACTACTTTTTGGTTTATAATTTTCGTCGTGGACCATGTTTATGACAGTAAAACGTTCCGACTTATTCATATCAAATGAATCTCTATCTATTGTCTCTAAATGAGCTGCACTGGTATTAACGAAGTCTTTGTCTTCCCCATTTTTCTTTTTGGGACTCTTGTTTTGCATTAGATGGATGCCTCGTTCTTTTAAGCCTTCAATCAAATTCTGTGCTTCCACATCTGATGCTGTGTGATCAGCCTTATCAATACTTAACTTTTTATTTTCTTTCGGTGCCTCCTTTTCGTCGTCGCTTGACGATAGCTCTAAATTAATGTCGGAATCATCACTGGTCCTTAAATCACTTAAAACTGTGCGCAGCCCCTTCATTTTTTTTCTTTTTCTAGGAGATTCACTTTTTCGCTGCATCTTGGACGTATATACTTTAGCTATCGGTTTTATTTTAAATTTACCGGCTGGTTGTTTTTTAATTTTTGGAAGTACAGGTTTTGGTTTTAAAGAGTCTGCTACTCGCTGACGTTTCTTCGCTAAATCTTCCAAAACTGACGACTGCGATGTTGTTATTCCTTTCATAACGGCAGTAGTTGGTTTTAACTCCTTTAATACAGTTTTGACGTCGTCAGCCTTTGTTCCTATTTCTAAATCTTGACTAGTGTTTGCAAGTTTTTTTCCTTTGGAAGTGTTCTTTTTGTTTTCCTTTTTCGCTGGTGTTTTAACAGTTTTTGTACTGACAGCAGTTTTCTTCGGAGAGATTGATTTGTCCGCTAGAGCTCTACTTCTTAAAGAATATCTTTTTGTAGGACTTACAACAATAACGGCCTTTTTGAATATAACTGTATCATCACAGTCAGATTCAGATAAAGAAGCTTTTTCTGCTTCATCTTCAGTATCACTACCATTCTCAGATGAATCTGACTCGAAATTCTTTTTCATTAAATTAAGATTTTTCTTACCAATTACATTTTTATTAAACATTTGTAAATGGTCGTAAGGCTTAGATGCCTCTTGTGTAGATGCTTTTTCCATTTCTCTCAAATGAGCTTCTAGATTTTTATTTTGTTCATTATCGGAAGGTTGGTAGTACGAACTGCCTGTGGAATAATCGGTGGGTCTGTTTGAATAAGGCGAACATAAATCCATTGTTGGAGTGAAAGCTGGAAAACTAGGTGTTATAGGCAAAGGTGTTGGTATTGATCCGATATCAAGTCCGTTCATGTCAAGATTAGCTTCAAGCATTTTAGTAAAAGGAGTAGCACTACTCATAACACTGAAATTTATATCTAAAGGAGTTGATACTCCCGGAGTTGTTGGTAAACATACTTTTACAGGTGTCTCTAACATAGGCATTATATTCCTATTTGCTTTAATCGGCCAAGGAGTATTCGGTTTGTTATTTTCTGGTGTAATAAATTTTGTAACATCTGTTTTACTAGTTTCCAAGATATTTTTAGTGGCATTATGAAGTTTTGAAGGTGATAAGATTGTTTTAACCTGAGTATTCAAAATATTTTGATTCTCGGGTAAATTCGATGTGTCTAATTCATTTTCATTATTTTCTTTTGATAATTCAGTGTCCTCCGTTTTTTTTACTGGAGTTTTAATAGCTTCTTCTAATTGCATCGCTTCTTGTTCGGTTGTGGAATTAAGTTTTGCATTTTTTACCACTTTTTTCTTACGTCCACATTTACGTCTATTTGGACATTTATCTAGTTTTTCAGGTACTGTAGCTCTTAAATCAGAATCCCACGTTTTAATTTCTGTTTCTGTTGTTTTAGGAAGATCTTTGAGTGTTTTCTTCTTCTGGGCTGTTCCTGTTGTTTGAAAAAGATCTTTTGCCACCTGATTCTTCTGGGTCGTTTCTGTTTTTTTTAAGACATCTTTGGTCGCCTCAGTCTTCTGGCTTGGCATGGATTTCGAAGAAGAACTTGACTTTCTTTGCTTATTTGTTTTAGGGGGTGAAGAAAAATCCAAATTACGCACGTGAGATGTACTTTTTGGAGTTGACTTTTTCAAAGGTTCTCGAGGAGCCGGAGTATTTATTTTTTCAGTTGAATCTACTACTTCAATTACATCATCGGAACCTTTCTCAGCGTTATTGTTTGTTTGATCTACATTAGCCTTCTGTGTGTTATCTATATTTTCTTTTGGAGTTTCAACGGCATCTTTTGAAGATTTTTTCGAAGTTGTAGGATACATTACTCGTTTTAAGCCAGTTCTAACTGTAGGGTTATTTAAATGAGTAGTGGGTAAGTTTGTCGGAACTACTGTTTGGAGTATTCTAGGATCCCCAGGATTATAATTTTTGAAAAAATCTTGAATGGATGAATCTACGATAACTTCGTTCGGCTTTTGTTTTGGTAATAAAACTTTAGCTTTTTTTCTACCTAAAAATTAAAGTAGAAATAAATATTACAGTTTAATGGACATAGAATTGTTTCGAATTCATATATATTTTTGCTTACTGAGACGAATTAACAACATGAAATTGTTCAATTAGCTTTTGATTAAAAGATAAAGTTACATGTTGATTCTTAGCAACACATGTTTTCAGTTTGGGGAATCTTAGTTTTTTAGCACACCCGCCAAATAACAAAAAAAAACGCTTTTGCAAATACTAATAGTCTATAACCAACATAGATGATTTTTGAGTTTCATATTATTTATATTATAAATAGTGCAAAGGTAAGGTGACATGCCACAAAAGTTTGTCGATTCAGAGAACAATTTCCGTTATATACAGGTTCGGTGGAAAAAAATTATGGTGGGTATTACCAAAGAATATAGACGCATATAGAAGGATCGTTCACTGTTATTTTTTAGCGTCGGCAAATGGTTGAACACAAAACAATAGAAGTTGATCATGATTTTAGTTCCTTATTTGTACCACTAGAGAGCGGTCATGTCAGCGGCTATTACTGCTTCTAAAATAAAAAAGAGTGGGGCAACAAATGCAACTTTAGATATTTTTATATGTAGGTGCAGCGTGGTCCTAGAATACCATTAAATTTTTGCGTTTTATAAATTTTTTCAAAGAAAATAATATTATTTTCAACTTTTAACAAATGAATCTTTTTAGAAAAAATATATGATTCAAATTTTTAATTGAAATTTGTATAAATTTACAAATAATATAATTAAAACTCTCTTTTTATAAACTATAAATAAAATGAATTAAAAGTCAGTCACCGGGAGAGAAAGCTCAAAATATTGTAAGGATCAAAAAACAATTCCTGATCTTGTTACTACCTAGAATTGTTTTTTTAGCACATACACCAAAGAATTATTCTTTACAATTTGAAAATTCGAAATTGTGAAGTAATATTTCGGATTTTTAAATTAAAAAAATAAATAAGTAAATCTCAAATAACGCCTCACTAGAGCTTAACAAAGGAAGATAAGAAAAAGGCAAAATGGCTGCTGGGACATAGACCATAGCAAATCCCAAGAAATACAAATCAGCAACACCCGACGATAAAAAGAGACTTCGACAGAATACCATCACCAGTTACTAGAACCAAGGGGCTCTAACGAGCAGACTAGGTCATAAAGCACCCTGACAAAAGTATTCAGAATAGTGGTAGCACACAGACACCATCCTGATACTCAACTAGATCGGGCTCAAGCAAATTTGATCATCAACAAACTAGAGCAAGCACTTAATGAGGCTCCTATCTGAGGTAAAAATGAACTTCTGCAGTTCCATAAATCATCGTTTAGCGAAGGGACCCTGTGGGCGAACTGTGTTAACGAGTATACAAAAAAATGAACGACTGAAGTGGTGAAGGCTATTGAGGGCCTGTGGGAGGGAGTAAACTTAAATATTATTGTTCCAAATAATATGCCCAAGCGCTACATGGTCCTCACCCGCGTCCCCGAGAAAAAACTTGATGAAGTAACCATCAGGACCTGTCTAAAGAGGCAAAATCAAGACCTTAATACAAGAGACTGGTTGTGATCTCTGTTCCACAGACTGAACGGCAGTAAAGATAAAGGTTATAGAGGGAGGAATTATGAAGGAGATATTTCTCAGATCAGCATACCTCCCATATGATGATCCCGAACAACCATCAAGGGAGTTGGAACAGTTAGTGAGATATTGCATGAAAAACTGCAAATAATCATTGGCTATGATATGAATGCCTACCATCTGACCTGGAGCAGTACAAACACCAAACTGTTAAAAATGGCATGCTTTAGATGAGGTGTCTTGTTCAGACCATCGAGACAGACAATGAGCAGATCAAGGAAACTTATCGTAATCCTGGTTAAACAAATTGGGAAGCATATCAACCAGACCTGGAATATTGTTAAGGTAAGATTAAAGTGACGATAAGGCATACATTGAACGTAGACATGGCCGCCGTACAATTTCATTGCCATGTCAGCGCTTAAAGATTCTTATATAGTAAGGAATTTCAACGGGAAAGTACCCTGGTGGAATGACAATCTTGCAAATTAAAAGACAAAATTCAGACGAAAATTTAATTACTCCAAAAGATCTGGTAAGTCGGGCGATTATTGCAAAGCATGGACTGAATATACAACAACTAGAAGGGAAAAAGAGGTCGGCTTAACGCACCCAATATCAATTTAAGATGTATCTTAAAAACAAAGAGCATACTAGTTTATTAAATATTAAACAAATATAAATATTTACCTCGTCCTTTTTTAGGTTCGGGTTTGTCATCTGATATTATAATTGGCATTTTCATGATATCCGGTTCCGTTAAACTTGATGGTATAGGGGGATTATTAATGATCCTGATGGTTGGTGTAATTGCAGGTATAATCAAGGGAGGGAGAGTATTTATATACATAGGATTGGTCACACAGGATGTTACTGAAGCCACACTTGTCTTGTTTGTAATAATGTAACTGTCTAAGGGATTATCGTATGTAACGATCGGCTAAAAAAATTATATTATTAGATTGTTTAAAAAAATGAAAAATATTAATTTTTTATTTATGTAAAAAATATACGAACAGAATTATATCAACTTGCTACTGTGTTATAAGTATTTTGTCTTGTACCGAACATGCCTATTTCGACGTGGCCATATAACGGTTGCATCTCGAGACGACGATGATCTGTGTTCGGGAACCTTCCGGATGTATCGACCGAGATAGAGTTTACAAGCGCTAATGCAAGTGAATAGAGGTGGACTATTTCAGAATATTCTAGTACATAATAACTTGTATATATAAGTAGCGCTGATAATAGCTTGTTAGTTGATAAAATTTATCGTGCTGTAAACTTACGCTTCAGTCTTTTCGATTTTATCGAATGGACATTGCGCTTTATGGTCTATTCGATTTTTTTCGTTTATCCTTTGCACATGATTTATAATTTTATTAAAATAATAGGCTGTAAATTATTTTTGTATAGTCAATTGACTGAGTTTGGGGATATTTTGACAGAGTCCTTGTCGGAAACATGACATAAAAATGTCTATTATAGTAAAAGCCACAGTTAGAATGCAGTGTTGATTTTACGACGCGCAGTGATGCCGCCCATATCGGTTCAGTAGTAGGTGTGTGGTAGCTTGACGATAGACTGAGAAATCAGGACCGTACGCGATTCGTTTCAAATATTAATTTAACTGAGGATTAATAAGAAATGAGCAAAAAAAGTTCTATAAAAAATGTCTGTATACATAAAATATCTAATACTCGTAAAATACTTATTATATATATATATATATATAATATATATAATATATATATATATATATATATAATATATGTACAAAAAAAATGCAAGTAGTTTATCATACCGAGGCTGGTGAATCGCCAAACGGGCCATAGGAAATTCAATGGAAAATTCAAATTGTTTAAATTCCTGCTTCCCTAATTATTTTACATCAAAATGCATAGGAAACTATTTGTAACGAAACTAAAATATGTATTAAAAAACAAATGTTAAAATTGTTCTACGAATTAAATGTATCTCAAATGTTGTAAAAATATAATTACATTTTTTAGGCCACACCTTAAAGAGTCAGGCCACACAAGGTACAACAGAATGTGTATGACATGTCGCGTTATGGTCATATTTATCTTGTTCTACTATTGACATTATTGAATTGTCAATATTTTTATTTTGTGATTAAATCATACACAAATACTAAAATGCGTAAGTTTTCACAAATACTACTACTAGTGAACACGTAAATAGTACTTTGTAAACAATAAATTATATTATTAAATGGCCAAATATATGACACTTGGGCTGATACAAATTCAAACTCGGAAAGTAAAACGAATGTCTCCCAAATCTTTACTACCGTGTAGTTAGCTTATAAAGGCGCCCCCTACTTTGAAGGCCGTGAAACGAAACGATATGAATAATCGTTTTCTGTATCCTTTATGCTATGCGAAATGTGTAAAAGAATTAAATCCTTTTAGCGAAAGCCGCTATCGCTTTATACTATATACATATATATACGCTATATACATAAAGCGATAGCGGCTTTCGCTAAAAGATTTAATTCTTAATAAATTATATTGTTTACAAAGCATTAAAATTGATGAAATGTAATCAGTTCACGAAAAAATCGCAATAATGTTGTATTCAGGCAATAGTGCGAGCACTGCCAGATCTTATTTAACACAAGATATCATAATACACTCCAATTAAATTCCAGGTTTATACAAAAATCAAATAATTTCAATATAGTTTTACGGTGATCCTTCCTAATAATAATTTATGATAATTTTCTAAACATAAAACTATAACAAATGTTCAAACAATAAGCCATTTTGTACTAAGCAGTATCCCACTTGATTGTAAAATTCTCATCTAACATTAGCCAGAATGCGTGGCGTTATTATTGCACACTCTTCAATATTTCGCATTTTTAATGTTTCAATATCTGTAAATTTTTGGTCAGAATAGATTTTTGATTTTAAATGCCCCCAGATAAAATAATCGTTTGGAGCTAGATCTCCCGATCTCTGAGGCCACTTAATATTACAGTCAGGTCCAATCAAACGATTATTATAAGCTGTTTTTAAGGAATTCCTTAACCTCCCAGTTATTATGTGCAGGGCAGACATCCATTTGAAACCAAATTTCTTCTTCATCTGGAGCTAATTCTGCAAGTCTGGGTAAAATTTCTTCTTGTACAAGTCTAAAAACTTTTTGAATTTAAATTTTCCTCATAGAAAAATGGTCCAATAATATTTGTGTGTCTAAATATTCCTAACCAGACATTTATTTTTCGACGATATTGGGGACTTTCAATAATATTCTCAGGCTTTTTTGTCGACCAAATCCTATAATTTTTGAACATTTGGTTCATTATTTAATGTAATGTATATTCATCACTAAACAAAATGTTTTTTAAAAATTGTATATATGCATTAGCCCTCTCTGACATTTCATAACAAAATTCCGCTCGTCATTTATTTCATTTGATTTTCTAAATTTTTTGGTACCTCAGCAATATTGTTTGTACAGGTACAATTAGAAATCACGCTCCCAGTATTTTCAAACTTTTCTAAAATCCTTTTGAATTGTTGAGTGACTTGGAATTGGTCTATTGGGATATCTTACGCTAAATTAAAGAACTGACAATTCGCGCACTATTGCCTGAATAAAACATTTTTATTATTGCTACTTTCTCCTCAACTGAATACATTTTTTAATCAACTATGTTGTTTTTTAAACAATAAATCACTGAATTAAAATTTTGGCAATTCAAATAATGTCAAATATAAGAAACATAAATATGACCAAACGCAACATGTCATACACATTCTTCTACCTTGTATGATCTGGTGGGGGCCTAAAAAATGTTTTATATTTTTACAAAATTTTAGGATACATTTAATTCGTAGAACAATTTTAACATTTGTTTGTAATACATATTTTAGTTCTTTAACTAATAGTTTCCTATGAATTTTGATGTACAATAATTGAATCACTATATGCAAATCTGGGCACTAATGGGTTAACTTTAACAAGAATTCAAATTCTACTCTCCAATGACGGCATGCGCGAACACGACCGATTTTGTCCTACGGGAAGATCCTATCTTGTTAGTCATAGTATCATGGGCCAAAGAAGTATTAAATTATAAAATTCTTTGTATTATTCTTAAACAAATACCGAACATTTTTTGACGTCCTCCATTTTTTTCAATTTGATGGACATGAACGGTAAAACGATACCAATCTTTCCAGGCTGTTGTGGCTGAAATACATGTTTGAAGGCGCCATCTATAAACTCGTAAGCAGTAACAATCCCCTTTTTCCACTCTCGTAAATAAACTGTAAAAATTTGCTGATATTGAAGTGTACTTTTGCATTGCGTGCTGTACTTCTGGAAGCAGTTTCTTCTGATATGTACTTTTTCTTATATAAAGTAGGCCACCAATCTTTAAAATTAATCAGATCTTCTGTTTTTACTTCTTTTAGAGAAAATTTACTGCTAGTTGTAATCATTTCGGTTATTTGATGGACCGTAAAATTTCTATCGAATTTTCTCATGTTTCTTTTTACAGTTGCAAAATCCCTATCACAGGGGGGGAAGGAATGTCCCCTAACTGGAAAATAGTGTATAATTTTCGAAATAATATAATATAGTGTATAATAATAGTGTATAAGTTCCGCAACTGCTGCTCGTTTGGAGGTTTAATTTAAATTGGGATCTTTTATCTTATTATTTAATGTCTCACAAGTTGAACAGACATCAATTTGTGGTCGATATGCTGGGGAACGGCCGATTCGACATCTTCTCCTAATTTATTGACACTTGGATTAAGACCAGGCAGATATTTTTCAAGAACAGCAAGATCTCTAAGTCTTCTAACTCGATTTAGTAGTAGGAAAAATAACATACGCGAAATTATTATGTAAGTAAAATAACCTGTAAAGTGGACCTAACTGCTTACCAGGAATATTATGTCCCTTGTAATTTCTGTATGGTTCAACTTTTGTACGTGACTTTTTTATAATATTTCGTTGGTAATTTTCAAGAACTGCTTTCCTCTTTTTACTTCGACAACTCAGCACTCGCTTCCATTTTACACTATTTTTAATAAAAAATTACTTCAAACAAGAACTCAAAATTAAAACACACTATGTGTAACGACTATTTACGTAGATTATGATTGAATTTCTCGTAGAAATAACCGATTGCACAGCTGTTGAAGCGTACGCCGTTCTAATCTCTTACTCAGCAGAAACCATACATGTCCAGGACTCATTTTGTTTCTGCTGATTACCAAATAAATAAATCGTTGACTACTAGATAAGTTAAATATGGACATGTGCTATTTTGCTGTATAGTGCGATGTAATTATGTGTGTATATTCATATTCTTCCAAAAACCAGATTTACGGAAAAATAGACATGTGTTGTTTCTGCATATAGCGATTCAATTCTTTATAATTTTTTATGATTTTTTTAAAAATTTTTATAGTTTTTTATAATTTTATTTAAGATTATATAATTTTATTTAATTGTATTTAATCTTGTATAATTTCATTTCATTTATTTTATTCTATTTCATACAAATATTTTAAAATAAAAATTAACCAAAATGAACAAGTCTTTCTCGAGTTGTTATAAAAAAATTTATTATATAAAATTATAATAAGTGTACATGTAGCATGTATATTATGTATATGTATACCGCAAGGTTATTACACCCGTCCCGATTTTTTGAGTCATGCTAAAGCTCGAGCCCGTGCAAAACATCATACCGAGCGCTAAGAAGTATTCACTTCAATAATTCTAGGATTGTCCGTGAAATAGTTGCTTGTATTGCACCGACGCGCAGAAATCTCATTGAAGACATGCAAATTCTAAAATTACATAATGATACAATACCTCCTTTACCATTTGTGGGTTATCTGGTATGTTTGTGAGAGGATTGTTAGGTGCTAAGATTGGTTGTTTATCTGAAACTCCTTCTTGTACTACTTTTGTGTTTGTGCTAGTATCAGTTGCGTCTTTCTTTTTCGTGCTGTAATAAAAAAAAAATTTTAAATTTTAGGGATTTTATATATATATATATATATATATATATATATATATTATATATATATATATATATATATATATAAATAATTACCTGATTCCAGAATTAGTTGGTTCGGACACTTTATGGTTGTTGCCTACACTATTAGTTGTATCTGAAAATTGGAAACTATATTTTAATACTCTATAGTTTTAAAATTGTAGGTACTATACAGTATTCAAAATAAAGATGCACTGGGAATAAACAGAATCATGCTAAGACACTTTGCTTTCCTATTAAATTATTAAAATAAGTTGAGTTGCTATTTGTTTTAGCAAGATTGGCTTTTAGTTTGTTACAAGTGCAATAATTAATCAACGTTGTTTGTTAATCGTTGCATTTATTTTTTACTTTTATTTTCTAAGTTGGTTCTTAGTTTTTAAGTAAATATTAGTATTAATATTTTTATTTATTCTTGTTTTGTCCTGTCAAGTGAGTATGGTGTTTTTATAGATTAATGTTCTTATAATTATTTTTAAATATCAGAAGGTTCAATTAATAAAAGTATACCAAAAAAAAATATGTTCAGCACAGATATTGCTGACGAGGTTGCCGAAATAGAAAAGTCCTTAAAAAAATCATTTCACAACAAAAAAAATGCCATTTCGATGTCAAAACGAAAGAAATTATTTTAAATATTTATGAGTATGAAATATGTAGAAGAAAATCCTACTCTAACAATCGATGAGTCGGTAATAAGAGTTGCACATAAGTGAGGTGTGTACAGGCAGAGTATTTATAATATTGTAACGAAATAGCCCACCTCCGATGCGTGGTACGTGTCACAATTCTTTTTCAAAAATGCTGGTGGCGTTTCAGCTTAATTTTGGATTTTCCACAAAAAATGTCATATCTTTGACATGTTTTGGATTGGCAGATTGGAAGTTTTTATATATATTTATATATATATATATATATATATATATATATATATATATATATATATATATATTATATATATATATATATATATTTATATATATATATATATATATTTATATATATATATATATATATATATATATATATATATATAAACATGTTGACAGCTTCACATACCTTGGCTCGTTAATGACTACTACCAATAAAACAAGCAAAGAAATGAAAAGACGAATAAACCTTATAAATATGGCATACTATGGACTCCAAAAACAATTCCACTCAAGCAATATCCAAAGAAAAACTAAAATTATTATATACAAAAGACTGCTGAGGCCGGTCCTCACATACAGGGCGGAAACATGGTCTCTAACGCAGAAGGATCAAAGACTTCTGGGAATATTCGAGAATAAGATACTCCGCAAAATATTTGGAGCCATAAACAGTCAAGCGCAGTGGTGAACTGATGAACCAGATGTCATAACGTTCAATAAAACACAGCGACTTATATGAGCCGAACATATAATACGAATGTCAACATTATTGCTAAAAAGCTAACGACAGGAACACCTATAGGAAGAAGCAGAGGCCGACTGCGAATTAGGTGGTTAGATGAAAATGAGACGGACTTAGGGATAGAGATCAGAAGATGGCAACACGTTGTCAGAGACCGATCTAATCTTAGAGGACAGGATCCACAGTGGATTTTTGAGCCAAAGATGGTAATTATGACGAAAAATATAATAGAATATTGAGGCAAACGTACTTGTATTGAGGAAATATCTACTTATATGTATGACATTAAAACAACTTAATATAAGTAAGTGCAGATACAGGTAAATTCAGAGATTCTTGATAAGTAGAGCCGGTTATAGCTACTTTCATATATGAAGACTGATACCTTTGCTCCGCCCATGACCCATTTAATCCTGTTGCTCAATCTGTGGAAACCACTGATTTGCCGCATAAAAGAAATCGTTATTCATTGAGCCCCATGCTCTTCAATTTGATCATGGATGAAATCATCAAAACCGTTAACAAAGGAAGAGGATACAGAATCGGAAACAAAGAAATTAACATACTCTGTTACGCAGACGGCGCAATATTGATAGCCCAAGATGAAGATAGTTTGCAAATACTGGTCCACAGATTTAACATAAGAGCAAAAGAATTTAATATGACAATCTCATCTCAGAAAACTAAAACAATAGTAGTCAGCAAAGCATCAACCAGATGTAAAATAGAAATTGATGGCATCAGAATTGAACAAGGAATGTGAAATAAAATACCTAGGAATTACACTGTCTAGCTATGGAGACCTGGACAAAGAAGTGAGAGATCAAGTACAAAAAGCAAATAGACTGACAGGATGCCTTAATAACACTATATGGCGAAACAGACACTGAGATGAAATCAAGAATTTATAAAGCCAGTGTAAGACCAATAATGACATATGCCTCAGAAACAAGACCCCGACATAGTAGAAATCTTCGGATTTTTACTTTTTGCTTTATACTATATAAGTTTGTTTCCAGTTCAATTCAAGATTAAGATTAATTATTAGAGACTTTCAATATGTCGCCAAATAAAAAAGTAATAAAAAATGAATAGTTTTATCGATATTAATAAAGGATTTTTGTATAAAATGTATATCTGATTGAAAAAATATACCTAGTATCTCTTGCAAAAGCTCATCAAAGAGGGGATCTGCTTCAGCAACTTCAACTGCTGATTTAATAGTCTGGTTCAGTTCATCAGCTTCATTTGTTTTCTTTTGTTTTTCCACTACTTTATTAATTGTCTGTGCTATTTTCTCTTGGAACTGAGTATTTTCCATTAGGTTCTGTGCCAGCGCCTGTAAAAAATAGATGAGAGACCAATAAACACAAATAAGACACCATAATAAAAGTATGAAATTGTTATCGAGGAAGTATTTTTTATATATTATTATATATAAATATGATTATATATATATATATATATATATATATATATATATATATATATATATAACAATTTATTTTGTTGGAATATCGGGTATGCGGTCTGTTATTATTAAAAAAAAAACTCTTTTTTCTTTTAATCCTCTATATTTCGCTGATTTTTTGTCAGCTTCGTCATTCTAATTCGTCATCCCATCCAACACAACATAAACTGGCAGCTTATCATAGTATGTTACATAGATTAACAGAAATTCCGATGTCAAAATATAACTTTGAGACAGAATTAAATATATTTAAACAAATAGCAGTAAACAACGGATACAACGAACAAACAATTAATAAAATGTTAAATCAAAAAGTACACAAGAAAGCCCTGAAATTAGTATTTCCACACCAGAGAAAAAAACCCAGTACCTTCTGCTCGATTACATATACAGGCAAAATAACAACAAAAATTGCCAAACACATAAAAAAGAAAGGAATAACACCAGCTTTCCGAACAAATAACAACCTAGGCAAATATATTAAAAATAACAAGAGCCAAAATAAAAAACACTTAAATAGTGGTGTGTACAAACTTCAATGTGGCGACTGCCCAAAAACTTACATCGGTCAAACTGGTAGAAAACTTTGATAAACGAATAGCAGAACATAAAAGGGCTTTCAAGAATAGAAAAACAGATTCGACATACGCACTTCACCTTCTAGATCATAATCATTCTTGATGACAAATTTAAAATCCTTCACATTCAAAATAAAGGCCTTAAGCTATCTTTGTTAGAATCTATGGAAATCAACAAATTAAAAAACACAGATATAATTCTGAATGACCAACTTGAGACCAACAGTTCTCCCCTCCTCAACCTATTTCATTAGAGACTATAAATTTGTAAACCCAAGCCAAAATAAATCACTTGAGAAAGGCAATCAGCCGAATCAGCTGTAGTGATAATATTTAAAATAAATTTTGTGGAAGTTTGAAAACAAAGTTTTCAGTGTTTTATTGTTACATAAAATGAATTTCCATCAAGTAATGGTCGAATCCATCAATTATTTTTTTTTAATTATTTCAGCTACATTTTTGTTTGAAACATTTTTTTCTACGGCATACAGATTCTTGGTAAATCGATTTTTTTGCGTTTTTACCCCACTACGGTGAGTTTTAGGGGGGAGCCCAGGGGTAAAGTGGTAAACTTTCTTGCATCTTTTTAGGGGGCCCAAAGTTAATATTCTCGGCAAAATTCAGCTTGTTCGTATGATTTTTAGGGGTCAACTCTCTGACGAACGGACTACTGTCAAATTCATGTAGGACATTGTATCTAATAATGTGACGTCAGTTCCGTCGTCTATCAGTTACATGTAAAAGTATCAACATGTTCCATCCTAGTATATTATATCGATGATATTCACTTTCCACTTTTTTAAAACAAATATGATACAATGACTATGCATACATTGATTGCAGTGTGCTGTTTACCATCATTTGGGCTTTACAACTACATGTCGGTCATAGCCTCCTCTTTCTTTCCAGTTGTCTCTAAATAGCTATGTCTTCATCGACCATATCAAGGAACATTGTTCTAGGTCTTCCTCTTCATTCCTGGCCAATGGGTATACCAAAGAGCGTTTTTCTAGCTGGGTTAGTTTGTTCCATTTGCATTACATGACCTACCCACCTCAGGCGTCCTATCTTAATGTATTTTTCGGTATCTGTTTCTTGGTATATTCTATAAAGTTTGAAGTTGTATTATCTTCTCCACACTCCATTTTCATTCACAGCTGCGTAGTACCTATTGGCTGTGCAAATTCTGCGGTGATTGATGTAAAAATGATATTTTTATAGGATTATAATTTTTTGCCCCTTTAATTATATTTATAAGAGTAGAAAAAATGATTTACGTACTGCTGTATCAATTATATCAACGGCCCTTTGGGCATTTGGTGAATCTTCGGAAGAACTTCTACTGCTTCCATTTACAACTTTCTTCCTTATAGGTGATTGTACGAAAGTATGATCATTTTCAGTATTTCCAGGAAGTGTCTCCACTGGGGTAGCTTCTACATTAATATAAGTAGGACTCATGCAATCTACTTGGGAACCCTGGTAGCTGAAAAATAATAGAAATTTCACAAAAAATTAGGAATCAAAAACTTAAAAAAAAACAAACACAAATATATTTTTAGCCTATTTTTGACAGACTGACAACACTTAAATGCTTTTGTTTATTCCCAATTTAAGAGTTTTATAGATATTATGCAGTTTTTAATGGCTTCCATTGACATCCTAATATTCTTCATTTCTCTATAAATTAAGCAGTATCATAGATATTTTGTATATTGCAACTTTATGAAAGTGTACCAAGATATATACCAATAATGCAAACTAGATAATGAGAAAGAACTTACTATCAGTACTGGAAATATATGTTTATTCTAATTTATCGACTTTTTTTAAAATCTTGCAATCAGAAAATGGTTTACAAAAAAGAAGAGTGTCTTTAAGAATCATAGCACTTTACATTTCAAGTTACAAAACAATTATACAATTATCCAATATTTGTATAATTTACAATCTTTATCCAAATAAGTATAAAATAATATTTTAAATTATACTTTATTCAATTTTAAGATAAGCTCCAGGTAAACTCTTTCAAATACGTGATCGGTGGGTGTGTCACGTCGTTACAGCTGGTCATTGGCTATAAATTAAGTACTAATCAATGACAAGCTGCCAGGATACGAAACACCCACCGATCACGTGTTTATAACTGTTTAGAGATAATGCAAGCACTCCTGACCACGGCGCAGTAGACGAAATTTGGTTTAGTCCCCACTTCCATGCGAAATACATTGTATTATGCACTGTGTAATTCCACTTACAATAAAACCTTTCTGTCTTTACGTGAATTTTGACTCCGCCTTCGTGCAGCTCCATGGTCAGGAGTGTTTGCACTCTTTACATATCTTAAAATTGATTGAAGTATAGCATGATACACTCAATAAAAGATAATATGTCACTCACAGAGTATTTTTAAACGTTAGTGTGCTGTACACTCAGTGTAGACGTACTTTGTCAGTTTTTAAATTCGTAAAATTTGTGTTTATCTAAGCTTTTATGGCTTTTTTTATTAAAATGAGGTATGTTGTGTGTACGTGCAATTATGTGCAAAACCGTTAAATTTTACCAGTTTCCGAAAGACTCTAGTTTGTGCAAATGTGCAGTGGTTAAATGTTACAAATAGAAGAGACAAAGTGAACGATAAAACGTCTGTTATTTGTTCCAAACATTTTCTGGAGACTGAGACAAAAATCAATTTAAAACATAAACTTCTGAATTACACTCTAAAAATTATCGTGGGTTGAAAGATAACGCAGTTCCTACCCAGAATCTACCCCAATTCCAAGTTTGCAGTAAAATACTGCATATTTATGCGCATATATCATGTTTTTATTAGCATATTTGCCTTAGTAATAAGTATAGGTATAGAACTTTAGTTATACAAACATTTAATCGAAAACCACACATATTCAGTTCTGGTAGTAGGCTCTATTCAAAGCAAATATTTAAAACAATGCTCGTACATATTTTGTGATTACTTGTTTAGTTTTTGAGTTATTTATACAAATTTATTTTATCTTCTGCTTCTGAATATGTTTTTTAATTTTATTTTGTAGGCAATTATTTTGAAATTCCTTGGACAAAGTAAAGTTCAGATTTTTTCCTTTTGCAATTTGAATAAAGTAAGAAAAACTGGACGTTATTTATATTGGTCTCTTTATTTCCCCCTGCCATTACTCTGTGAGTGACGTCATGCACGCGGCAGACGGCGACTCGTTCCCGGGAGCATCCGGTCCTGGAAGTATAGTATAAATATTATAATAATTTTCCCTTAACACTGATATTGCAGTTTAAGGGTAGTCTGCTAATCTTCTGTGGTCTGCCTACAGTATACAGATTAAATAATAATTTAAAATTATTTAATATTAATTTTTTAATACTATTTTATAAGTCTTAATAACTACTTATCACATTAGGTTTCAGTGTTTTTATAGGAATAAATCACATATTATATTTATACTAATAAAGAAATTGTCCCATCTAGAAGTACAAAAATTAATACTAAATAATGTATTTTACAATTTGTTATTTAACCCCAAAAAACTGTAATCTTAAACAATTTAGACACTTATTGTAAATTTTCAATTAGAATACACCAAATGAAATATTATAAATTTTACCTGATGCTAGGTGTGGAAGATCTACTTGATGGAACTTTGGTCAATAAGTACATAAGTTGTCCAGAGAGTAGTGATTTTGAATGATGTTCATTATAATAATTGGTAGCTTCCAATCTTCCTTGAACTAAAAATACATCTTTATTAAATTTAAACTTGGTATATGACCGAAGTTTTTCACCATTTTAATTAACGAATGCTTTTTTGCATGTAGTACAAGTTGTGGTTAATTATAATATGGCTAACTCACTCAATTCTAATAAATACTAAACAACTCCAAGAGATTTTGAGGCAATCTTTTCTATTCTTCTAGAAAAGTATAAAACTATGTCAAGATTGATATCATGGTTACAGTAGAAATATAACTGCAATTTGTTGAGGAGCAGTTATGCAACTGTAATGGCTAGTTAGCGGTAAAGCTTTGTTAACGGTACTATGCTAGTTAGATTCATAGGGACAAATGAGACAGTGTCATTGTTGTAATCAAAAATGAATTGTTTCATAGTTTTTTTTTTTAATTTGTAATAAACTGTTTAATGCTTTGTACAGTAGGGCCTCTGTAGTCAAACTTCAAGGGAGTCGCCAAAAAATTTTAGATATAGAGTTTTCGACTTATGGAGGATTTTGACTTACGCTGATTTTGATTCAACATAAAGAGGTTGAGATTCATTCTTACTAATTTTTAGTTAGAGAGTTAAAATAAATAAAAATTCAAGTTAGGTATAGATGTAACAAACACTTTTATTTATTATAAATCAAAATTTTTGTTAAAACATCCTTAAAATTAAAAAAATATGGCATAAAAAGTCAGTATTTTTTTTGCTTTAAGATAATTTGGTTGCTTCATATCTAAAGTATTGGCTAAGGTATTTTTTTTTTAGCTAAGGTATAAAGAGCAGAAAATTCTCATTCTCCAGAGTTGCTGGTTTGCCCTATAAAATCCCATAAAGTATTTAATGCTACTCTTGCCTCTTTGTTGCAAACCCATGGAGCACATGTCATGTTATTCAAGTCGTATATGTTGTCTAAATCATTATTTCTACTACTACTTCAGAAAACTATCTGTTTCCCGAGCTACCAAATTAATAATTTAGTCATCAGATAATGTCCCAGCAGTCATAACTCCATCACCACACATAATAAAGTCCTCAAAGGATATTCTTGATTCAGACACCACTGTATTCCATTAAGGTACAGGAGGTGAAATATAAATATCTTCAGTTTGGTTTCAGATTCTTCTTTTGACGAGGATGGAAACCACAATGTACAGTTTTTTATAGTAGTTGTAGTTACATTTTGCTTTATCAGCCATTCTCATGGCTTGAAATACATCTATAGTAGAATTATTTTTTTTTCCATACTAGCCAATATGTTCCTGACAACTTCTGTTTGATTTAATGACTTGAAGTTTTTAATGATATCTTGATATATAGGCCAGGGCTTCCAATTTGTAAGTGGGTATATTTAAAAAACCCTTAAAAGGGCTACATAAAATTAACACGAACATTTTCGGAATAATAATTCCATCATCAGGTTAAAAATGCAGGTTAACATGCCTGAGCCACCAAAATATTAGGGTAAAAACCCTTTAAAATACATAAGGTTAACAAAGATTGTACATAATGTTGTTAATAATAATTGATGTTTAATATTTAATCATATTTTACTTCAGGTAACATACACCCATGCCTTATGTGAGTACCAGCATCAGGAGAGTAGACCTCTTCAAACGGATTTCAGCTGGTGACTGACCTGCATTTTTAACCTGATGATGGAATTATTATTCCAAAAATGTTCGTGTTAATTTGATGTAGTCCTTTTAAGGGTTTTTTAAATATACCCAATGACAAAGATTTAACCTCTTTTTTTCTGATACATGGTATACAGCCAGCTGCAGGAATTATTTTCCTTGTGGATTTTTTTATTTAAATAAAGTTTTTGGTGCCATTTACAGACCATGAGCTATGATTTACATGATCTTATTAGTAACTTATATAAAAATATGGACATCATAAATCAGTACCAATAAAGTAGTTTAATGTGAATTGCCTACAAATCAAACACAATGGACAACTCGTAGAAAATAAAATTGCATGCAATGCATGCAATTTTTCAGTATAAATAATAATATTCCAACTAGTTTTATACTAACTTGTAGTAGTGTAATTGATTGACATTCTTAGTAAGATTAAGTAACAGTGTATCAACTAATTGTTACATATGTGGGACTGTGAGTATTACTGTTATATAAACTGATGAAGGGGTTTATTATTTTTAGGTTATTAACATTATGGTAAAAAGGCAGTTTTTTTTTAACTATGATGGGGATTTATGGCAGATAATATAAACAAATATAAGAAGCATGAAGTTAAGTGAAAAATATTTAAGTATTATGAGCAAGAGAGAACTGCCAAACAAAATTTACATTGTGAAGTTTTGCTCATTAAAAAAAGATAATTGTAAATATTAGTGGTGTTTTTTTCAAGAGAGCACTGATAATAACTAACAAACTAATAATTAATAATACAGGGTGAATCAAAAATTTACAAACATACTAATTTGGGATATTTCAAAATATTCAGCTACTATTTCCTCCAGTGATAGTCCCAGAAATCTCGTAGGCATATATTTAGTCCCTGCATAATCTAAGTTTCTCAACTTTGAAGATGTTTTCAGAAACTCCTTGTAAGCCGTTTTACATTTTTGGACCCTTAAATATCCTTAAAATAAAAAATAAAAATGTTAGTTTATATTAAACTAAGTTCCCGCCAAAAATATACCTAATACTAATTTGGCTGTATTTATTTCTAAAGATTCCATTTCTTCTTATGTGAAGATATCTACTTCGTATGTATAATATAGCAAATTAAATAATTTATAGATAAAACCATCGATATATTTTACAAACAACAAAATTTAAAAACAAAACAACTACAGGTATTACACATACGTCAAGTCAACAAAACCGAAAACGAAAAGTTAAATGAAAACAACTGACAAGACTATCGATTAGAATCGAATGTTTTCATTACTTTATACAATCGATAGGTTATAGAGAATTATCCACACCCGAAAAACCGTCCCGCCCATTAGATTAAAATTGAAATTCACAAAACCTTTTATTATGAATTACTGTAGTACTGTACTGTAGTATATATAGAATAGTAATAATCTTTAAAAAATTACGAACCTAGCAAGAAATTGAATCTTTTGAATTAAGTTATTAAAAAAATGTGTAAGTAATCTATCATTATAGAATGTAGTACATGACGTACTTTAAAGTTTAGGTAAAGTTTAAGGTTTAAAAAACCCAAGCGAAATGGGCATCAATCGTTTCATAGATCCGCAGTTTGATGCAGCAAAGCCTTCATATATAAGGAGTAATAATACCATAGATTCTTATTGTGGGGACACAAATGTAATACATCATAAAAGAAAATACAAGCGGCACATAACAATAGCCTAAGAGAAGCAGTCAACATACCGAGATATGTTGCAGAAAGATTCCTCTTTAGAAAACAATGAAAACTACAACAAATCATCAGAGTGACGGATTTAATGAAAAAAAAAAGCAAGGACAAAGTTCTTGCGATAGAGAAGTTAGAGATAGAGAACCATCCCAGTCACATATTGCGAGAGATAATGAGGTACCACGCTTTCCAAAGATGGAAGCACAAAAGACCCAAACAACAAATAGTAGAATAAAATCCATAGTCCTCCTCCTCAATCCTTTAGCCCTTGTCAGGGCGTAGTGACACCCTAAATATTATTAGTCTGGTGTCTCCATTGACTGCGATCTTGTGCCATATGGACGGCTTCATGTAGGGATTTTCCCACCAAACTCTTCATTTGGTCCACCCATCGTATTGGAGATCTTCCTCTTGGTCTTCGGCCTTCTACCTTACCTTCTACTACCAATAGTTCCATGGTGCCCGTTTTTCCAGCTATGTGGCCGAAGTAAGTTAGGTATGCTTGGTTTACTTTTTTTAGTAGCCTGTCTTTTATATGAAGCTCTTCCAGAATTGACAGGTTGGTTCTATGTTCTGTCCAGGACACGCGTAGAATTCTTCTATATACCCACATTTCGAAGGCTTCGATCTTACTCCTATCGATTTTTTTGAGAGTCCATTTTTCAGCTGCTTATGTAGCAATGGGAAAAATAAGGGCATTGACCAACCTAAGCTTAGTATTCCTTGTTATTGTTCGGTCTTTCCATATTTTATTTAATTTAGCAGTTGCGGTTCGGGCCATTCCTAGTCTACGTTTGATTTCTGAGGAACAATCACCATTGTTGGTTATCAGAGAGCCCAAGTATACAAATCTGTCGACTACTTCGAAAATCCCTATTTGGCGTAGGTATATGCGGTAGATTATTATTTGCTCTGTCTACAATCATTATTTTTGTTTTTCTGGTGTTGATTTGAAGTCCGAATTCTTCACTTATTCGGCTTAGCCGTTCGATGATGGTAATTATTTCGACTTCATTCGCTGCTAGTATAAGTGTGTCATTTGCGTATCGCAAGTTACTGATTTTTCTGCCTCCTATAGTGATTCCTCCATCCCATTCATCTAGTACTTTTCTCATTATATATTCAGAATATATGTTGTACAATAATGATGATAGTATGCAACCTTGTCTAGTTCCTTTCTCTGTTTTGAGTGCATTTGAATATATTCCATGTACTTTAACTTTGGCTGAGTTTTTATTATACAGATTTCTTATTAGGTTAACTAGGTGGTTAGGTACTCCCATATTTTCCATTATACTCCAAGAGGATCCATTTTACTGAATCAAAAGCCTTTGTGTAATCTACAAAACAGAGCAACATTGGTATGTTATGTTCTCTCGCTTTTTCTACTATCTGTCTGTGTGTTAAGTATTTGCTCACGCGTTCCCTTTCCTGGTACAAATCCACATTGTTCTTCGGCTATCTCTGGAAGTAGGAAGTTCTTTAGCCGTTCATTGATTATATGTAGCAGGATTTTGCTTGCATGAGGGATAAGGGCAACGGTTCTGTAATTGCTCCGCTGTTATGCCATCGATTCCTGGAGTTTTTTTGTTTCTTAGTTGGTTAAGAGCCTTCTCTACTTCTGCTCGTAAAATGATTGGTTCAGCCTCTCTGATTGCATGTTTTTTGTGTTCTGAGACTGATGCGTCATCTTTTGAAGAATCATAGTACTAGAGAGAAAATCAACAATCACACCAGAGAGAAAACACTTCAAAAAACAACAACAACGCACAATGAAGATAGTTCGTAGCTCATTACACTCGTGGACAATCGCTAAATACAACGTGGGCCCAGTTGCCTTAAGAGGACAAACCCTATATTGTTATATTGTCTCATATTTGTATATATTTTTCAATGTTATAATATAGATATTGTACTAATTATGATTTTTGTTCCAGGGCTACCTACAAAAAAAATTAAAAATTACACAAAAAACGGCCTCGGCCACCAAAAATATTTTTAAAAAATACTAACAAAAACCGGCGCAAGCAAAAAAAAACTAACAAAAAAACCGAAAACCCGGGCACGTAGGACCCAACCCCTTGAGCACCAAGTCACCGAACTGAGCCAAGCTCAGAGCGGAGACTTGAGGCCTAAGTAAGCAATTTTAGTTCGCGGATAAGCCACAGTAAGATAACAGGATCATAGCGACAACGCGCTGTCCTGAGTTTTGAATTCAGTTAGGAAACACGTTGGGGTTCTATTACCCAGGACCCCCACATGAAGAGCATTTGGCTGATAGTTGTGCCCTTATCGCGCATCAGAGTGCTATAGAGGGGAAAGGGATGGTCTGGAGCATTGTTGCGCGGTGGAGTGACTCCTGTTTTTACTCGAGTTAATACACCTCTCTTCAATGAATTGTTACACCCGAACGTAATTCTTAAGGGTGAATTTGTCTCACAGGCTGGGTTTAATTAAATTGCTTGCTTGCTTGCTTGAGATTCTTATTATGTCTATGAATAATACAAAGAACTCTGCCTACAGTTTTGTTGGGTGGTTCAAGTAGCTCGACAGAACTGTTGCCGCTCCCAAGCCCGGATAAAGGAGGAGGGGGTCTACAGCCAGGTTATAGCATCTTACTTATAGACTTTAAAACCATACAGCTCATGGAAACAGGATTATGCTTCGGAACATGAATGAAAAATCATTACGACTATTAACGCGATGAAGAGGACAACGAATTTATGGAAAACAGGAAATATATTTCACATCGGTACTCGGAACGCTAAGTCTCTAAACACAAGAGAGCAGGACATTACAGAAGAGCTTGTAGAAAAAATATACTTAGACATATGTGCACTACAAGAGACGAAGAAAAAAGGAAAGAGTCAAATTATGCTGGATGACTATCTGATGATTTACAGTGGTGTTGCGAAAGAAACCAGAGTCAAAGAAGGAGAGAAAATTTTTACACCAAGTACAAGAATGTAAATATACCTCTGAAAGAATAGTAAGTGTAAAAGTTAAACTGAATGTCAAATCTCTGAATGTGACAGCAATCTATGTACCAGAGAACAACAGAGTTATCACCATAAGTATTTGGAAATATAAGGACAAACAGGAGAAAAAGGAGAAGTTGTTATGTGAGGTGGATGAGGACATAGCCAGAAGACTTCTAATGGTGGAAAGAATAAAGATCAGGATGGTACACGTGACGGTGAAGAAGATGGTAAAGGTGACGCGATGTTATAGATGCCAAGTACACGGACACATAACAAGAGACTGAGAGGAGGAAGCAAAAGGAAAGTGCGGGATGGAGGACCATGTGCAATCCTAGTATAAGAGTAACATTGTAAATTACTTCAATTGTGACAAGGAAGGTCATATATTATCTACGTCTACTTGGTGTTCCAAGTTCAGGAAAATTATCAGAAGAGCGAAATGTGAAAGTGGAAGAAGGGTAGGAGGTTACTGACTGAGCGACAAAATGGTGAATAAGCTTAAAAGAAAACGTGTGTTAAGAGTGCTGCAAAACAAATATGGGAACGGCTAGGCTAGTTCACGACCTCGCTATGGTTTCCGCGACCGAAAGAGGAATTGACATCCTGATAGCAGCGGAACCAAACCCCATGTTAGTGGGCAGTAGGGAACGGTTCGTGAATACGTCGGGCGTTATAGGAGTACGGATACTTAATAGAAGACTGAGGTTATATGGTATTGACTGAGGGTATATGATATAGTGGAGGGAGTAAATGTGGTATGCTGCTACATTTCACCGAACTGTACAGTGGAGAATTATGAAAGTAGATTAAATGAGATTATGAATGAGGAAAAATTATTGGTAAGAGAGTATATAATGAAAGGGAACTTCAACGCCAAAACGGTGTAGTGGGGTTTTCCAATAACGGTTGCTCGTGGACAAATATTTATGCAATAGATAAGACCTCTGGACCTAGTTGTCTAAAATAATGTTCGAGAACCAACGTTCGTGAGGGGGAATTAGCTCACATTTATATCGATGTCACCATTGGCACAAGTACTCGGATCAATGATAAAACAAACTATGAGAAATTGAATGAACACGGTAAATAAAAAAAGAAAAATGCCTTGTTGGTGGTGCGAAGAGATCGCAAATAAGAGTAAGGAATCCATTGCCATCAGAAGAGATCGTTACGAGGGCGAGAGGTAGAGGGGGAGTAATCGAAGCTAGCAAACTGGATATGGTAAACAATGTGCGAAAGAAGGAACTGAACAGGAAGATACGAGCCGAGAAGGAGAGGCACTGGAGACAATTGTGTGACAAGTTGGATGAGGAAATTTGTTGATCCTACCGTTGTTTGACGTCCGGAATGCGTACAATACATTAAAATGGAAAGAGGTAATAAACGTTTTACTAAAGAGAAGATGTCTGAGGTACTTGACGAATTTGGTCTCGGACTATTTGTCAGAGAGGAAAATTGTGGTAGAAAAAGAAGTGTTGGTTGATGTGACGACTAAGTATCACAGGGGTCAGTTCTAAGACCCAAGCTGTGGAACCTAGCATATGATAGGCTTGTTAGCCAACAATACGGAGAGGGTATAACCCCTTTCGCATTTGCGAATGACCTCGCTATACTGGTAGTGGCGCGGAACCTTTTCTTCAGTGCACAGCGTACATGCCACCAAGTCGAGAAATGGATAAAAATGCATGAGCTAGAACTGGCTGCAGGTAAGACCGACGCTCTAGTTCTCAAGTGACCAAGGAAAAGGGACGAGATGACATTCGGATATGCAGGAAAGAGAGTGGTCCCAAAGTAATGCGTGAGATATTTAGATGTGAAATTGAGTCAAAACGAAACGGGGAGCAGGTAAAGGGGGTGGCTCAAAGACCAGCGGTGAGATCATTGCAGAGGGCATTTCATTCTTTCTGGGGTACTGCAGTTTTAACAAAGACGTTCAGAAGGCAGCTCATCCGAGCAGATATGAAGAGTCAGTTGAGAGTGGCATGTGCACACAGAACAGTCTCTGCCGAGGTGCTGGGAGTTATCATGGGATGTATTCCGACGCACGTGCTGTGAAGGAAAGAGGAAGAGTATACGAGAGAAGAAATGAAGACATAGCAACAGAACGTTTAAAAAAAGAAAAAAGAAAGGGGTCCATGGTATGGCAAGAGAAATGAGACGTGATGAGAAGGGTGGCACTGTAAACGAAGTCGATGATTCCTAATCTGAGAAGATGGATAGACTGCGGGCATCGGCGTTCGGATTACTTCCTGACGGAGATGCTCACAGGACATGGTTGTTTCAGGGAATACCTGTACATATTTGGAAGGACAGAAAATGATAAATGCTTGTGTTGTGAAATAGTGGACAGTATCTCACACACTATATTGGTATGCGATAGATGGATAGGAGAGAGGACATATAAAGAGAACGTTGGAATGGAGGGAAAGGAACAAGAAGAAATGCGACCCGAAGGGAAGCAGGGGGCCAGGAGCAAGCAAGAAGATCAGACAGAATGAAAAGGGGAGATATTGAACATGAACAGATAGGAACAGATGGAGAGAAGGAGTCGGTCGTAGTAAGAAAGTGCGAGAATGCGTGAAAATTGTGCGTGAATGAGAGATCAGGATGAATGCTGTGCCGACGTTGCATCCCAATCAGGGCGGCCCGGCTGGTAATACATGGTTAAGGAGGGGATTTTTTTAACAGGTAGGTCTCTGGCATTGACGGCGATGGTATCCGAGCAACACCTGCGTGTGGTCTCGGATATCATCATGGCCACGTTGGAGAAATCCTGCATAACCAAGGCTGAAACCTTTTGGGACCGAGGTATGTTTCGAACGTTTTGACTACTTCCTCATAAAATACGAAAGAAAAAGTTTAGTTAGCCTGCTATTCTCCGAATGACTTCTCTCTCTAGGATCCTCAGTCTTTCTTTATGTTTCTGTCTCAGGCACATTAATTCAGCACCATATATGATTATTGGTCTAATTGCTACTATGAATATTTTCAGTTTAGTATTCTGAGAAAGCTTATTATCTTTGAGGAAGTTGTATTTCCAGTAAGTTCTGTTTCCTACCAGAATTCTTTCATTGATTTAATATGCTTTTACCATTAGTTCCATTAACTGAGATCCCAAGATATTTAAAGTGTTCTACCTTTTCAAACTCATATTTGCCAATATTTAACCTTATCACATTAAATGTATTTTTTCTTGAGTATATCAGGTATTTTGTTTTATCATGATTTTTGCTAAACCCTTCTTAGATGCTTCCTTGCATAACTTCACAAATTCTTCCTTTAACCTGTTTAGGTTTTTGCTAATCAATGCTATCTCATCGGCATAGGTCACAAGTTGCTTCCACATATAGCTTTAAAATCTATTACCCTGTCCTTTAGTTTACTGCTAATTAAGAAAGTTGTACGATTTTGACCCTGTTTGTATCTCCGGAACAAAATTTCGATCTTGTACTACAATTAAACCCTAATTAGACCAAACAGTACCTATGTAACGTATGTGAGACATGGGTGATTACAAAAAAACAAAAAAAAAAGTTAAAGTTTTCGGAAGAAAATTTGAGACCATCACCACTAATGATCTATAATGGGTCTAGATATAATCATAAACTTTACTAATTTTTGCTATAACTCCATTGAAAGGAGAAAGTAGATTCTTAAAAGTTCATGTTAACTTTCTCGTAGGATAACCAAAGTTATTATTCAGATTCCCAAATTACAAAGCTACAGATTACCTCAAATTACAAAAGCTAATACCATCGTTAATATTAAACAACTTTTAAAAGTTTTTATTTATACACGTTTAAAACTTTTCATGGATAAATAGGCAACAATGTTCAAGCCTTCAAACATTATTTCAATTTATGCTATTGGTAAGACTGATGTTACCGGAATTTCCTTTAAACACGTCACGAACATTGACGTCACTGTCTGCCATTTCTTTTTCGTTGAAACATGGCATCAGGTTAGTTGGTTTTGTATCATTTTAAAAGTAAATCAAAGGGGAGAATGTAATCATTCTCACACAGTCATAACAAATATGCTTTTGGTCAGTCAGTTAATTAATTGCAAATATTTTTATTATAGTATAACTTCTATAAGATCGAACCTCACTTTGCCCTCGTGTTAATGGCATTTTTTAATAGTATTGCTTTTTACAGGAAAAAAAGGAAAGAAAACCAAAGGGAAGACGTTTGCTCTTACCGATTTCTTACAGGAAACTACCGGCTCCATTCCTGTTCAACCTATTCGTAAATCAAATCTCAATTGGGCTGATGAGGTAGAAGATTTTGGTAAGATAATTTTTACCATATTGTTTTGAAGCTAATTTAACCTTGATTTAACTGATTTAAATGAGGGACATTCGTTATTACAATTATTTATCTTATATCTTGCGATTCTTTTATTCCAAAGCAGGTTTGTTTCCTATTGACCTTAGTTGCAGTAATACTTATAATTTAATGATAAACATTGATTAACTTCAGTTTAGTTTATAGTTCAGTTATACTGTTAACATTTGTTCTGATTATTTAATTCACTTTTAAAAATTATTACTTATTTTTGCGCTTCTATAGACTCTTGAGGGTAAAATACATGATTTTTATGAAAATACACCCTAAATTATTTTACAAATCAAACAATATTTGGTTTTCATTAAATATTTACAGATAAATTGTGAGTAATATTCATTATATGAAATATGTATACTGAATAATTTATTTACTTTTTTCATTCATTTTTTAAATTTATTCCAAACTATTTATCTTTTGAAGGATTCCAAACTTGACAATGGTTAGCTTTTGTACACTTTTCTAAAAGTAAAAATGAAAAAATTTTTGTCATTTTAATCAATAAATCTCTATTAAATTTTCTGTTATAAGACTAATTATTGTATTTCAATTACAATTGTTTTATTCTTTCTAAATAATAAAATTGAGAATGAAGTACATATCAAGGGAGATACTATAAACAATTTGTTTTATATCTTTCCATAAAAAAATGTAAAATCTTTTGCCACAAAGTTTTTAGTTCACTGTAATCTGCTTAGCAAATATTTTATTTGATTCTTTTTCATCAAAAAACAGTTCACTTTTTTATCATTTTGTATGTAAGAATGCTGTGAAAAACATCTTTTCAGTATACACTGAATAATTCTTTTGTTTGTATTTTCTATCAACATATTAAATTTGTATTGGATCTTGTTGAAATAATCATTTACATTTTCTTTTGATAAACATAATGTAAACTTACTACTTAAACATACTCATGATGATTCATAATACATTACACAAATATTTGCTGTGTATACAAATACAATCATGAATCTTCTTCTTCTTAAAGTGCCCTCTCCTCAATGGAGGTTGGCTACTACAATTTTAAACTCTTCTCTATCTTCAGCTGTTCTTATTAGCTGTTCAAAATTTAGCCCTGTCCATTGTCGGATGTTTCTGAGCCATGATAGTCTTTTCCTTCCTAGGCCTCTCTTTCCCTCGATTTTTCCTTTCACTATAAGTTGGGCATATTGGTACTTATTATTTCTCAGTATGTGGCCTAGGTATGATGTTTTTCTTACTTTTACTGTGTTAAAAAGTTCTCTTTCCTTGCCTATTCTATGCAGCACTTCTTCGTTTGAGGTATGCGATGTCCATGAAATTTTGAGTATTCTCCGGTAGATCCACATTTCAAAGGCCTCCAATTTATTTACGGTTGATGTTTTAAGGGTCCACGTTTCAACTGCATTTCAATCATTTCAATCACGAATCAATGTGATTCAATTATAGATGTTATTTTAATATCAAAATAACATTGAGCATGCTTTGAGTTATTTTCAATTTTTTTTTTGTTGAAAAAAAAAATGCCTAAATTAGTGAATTTTGGGATTTTTTAAAACTACTAAATGAATTATAATTCTACAAAAACCTTTATATTTTAAAACCTTCGTGTATAAGTAAGCAAATTTTGATAAGTGGGTTAAATCTTGCTAAAAACATAGTTTTAAATTTAAACAAAGATTTCTAAGTGTTGTGTGCCTGTTTTGCCAAGACTATATGCACTTATTATCATATACAGAGAGATTGCTTAAAATGCATATGTGAAATATTTGGTTCCATATTTTGAGCTAGATAGAATCCATTTATCCTTGTCAAAATATTTTTATTTGTACTTGAAGATTTAAAGATTATAAAGCATTTTATATAATTGCAGGTACTTTAGTACTTTTTTAGAAAAAAATTCCCAAAAATCACTCTAGTTTTTTTTTAGCCAAAAGTATAACTTGAAAAGGAAGCGTTTTTAAAAAAAATTAAGATAAAAAAGTATTTATTTCGATGAGATATGCTTCAACAAAAATTTAAAAAAAAATACACTTGGCTTGAAAAAATATACAAGATCAAATAGGTTTGGTGCAGTAGAAATGAAAAAAAAAATAAATAAAAAGTAGGTTTATGCTGTGCTTATAGGGATAAACCACTGACTTAAAAATGAAATAATAAAATCTGGTTCCAAATTACATATTACTTTCTGCTTTTCTTCTTCCAGGAGAACTGATTTCTCAGTTGTCAGTCAGTCAGTCAATGTTCTTCTTGGGGGGTAGGGATAAGGATTAGGATTTTTATTATGTGTGGATTGAACATTTTCTGTACCTGTTCTCTGTTGCTGCATGCTCTGTTTAAATACCTTTTAGCACTTCTTGTGATGTGGGCAGGGTCTTCTTCACTATTTTAATTACTGTGTTTTTCTGCAGAATTGGTTTCCATATATTTGGTAGTCTTTGGGTATCATCTCTGGTATTTAAATTTTTTGGATGATTTTCAATCTCTATGGCTTCCCTGATTACATGTTTGGCCTTATTTTGATGTTGGTCTATTTAAATTTATTTTGTGTCCTGTGTTTAAGGCATGTTGTGCTAGGGATGAAGTCTTCTCTTTTCTTTCGATGGAGTTTCAATATTCTTGTGTGTCAAACTTGTATCCTTTGATTTTTCTGTCTGATGTACAATTTATCGCAGTCCTCACACGGAACTTTGTATACACCTTGATTTTCCAATGCAACTTTTGTTTTTGCCCATGGTAATATGGTTGCGATTTTTCTGTCGGTGTTAAAAATAGTCTCTATTTTGTTTTTTTTTCTTAGCACTCTGCTGATTTTGTCTGCTGTACCTTTTATATAGGCAGGATAGTTTTTCCAACTGAAAATTCTTTACCAGCTTAGGAAGTGGAAGTTGGTGGCTCTGACTGTTTCATTAACTCATAAAACTGAGGAGCTTTTTCCTGGATTAAATAACCACATACAGGAATTCTTCTTAGAATTAATTTCTCAATCCAAATTGGAATAGCTCTTTCTGCTCTTTCTAATAATACATCCCTTGAGTAAGATGAAAATTTGGCACTTAATTTTGTATAAAAAAAATTATAGATTTTCTTATGGCAACTTCACTCTTAATATTTGCTCTTACAGTTGGTTCGCCTACGTTAAAATGTTTTTTAATTGCTTCCTTCCTAGATCCTTCTCCTTTCTCGAAGAGATAAAGAATTGCAATTTTCATTTACAACAAAATTGATTCTTTGGTGTTTTTTTCTTTGGGCCAAATAAAATCTTAAAGAAAGAATTAAAAAAATTACACCCAACAATATTGAGACAGCAAAAACCTCTTCTGATGAATAATAAAACTAATGACACTCCAGTTTCAATTCGAAAACTGTGCTGCTTCTTATAGTGCAACTTGGAATCGGCAAAATTTTAAACAACTTATATAAAATGAAGCACTGCTAAGAGAGAAATTATTTTAAAACAATAGCAGGTTTATACCTTTCAATATGAAACTAGCAATGATGTAATAGGGACATCATGTACCAAGGGAATCCCTGAATTGCAAAGGCTCACTTTACTGACTTTTTGGATGAAATACAAACCAAACAACTTTAAAATCACGTAAAAATAATATGCATAAAAAAAGACCTTACTGTAATTGGTATTCTGTAAAATATCCTTGTACTAAAGTGCATCTAAATGTTAGCTGGGACATTTTTGGGTCTTGATGGTGGCATATTACCAAGCCTTAATGACACACAAATCAAAAAGTTTATTATTTATATAATAATTTACCTGCAAATAAATAATTCTGGCTGAAATATGTGTAATATAACATTTCCAAAATGGAAATATAACTTCCAAATATAAATATATTCCAAATATTATATGTATTCAAAATATTTAAATTTGTTTTTCATGTATTTGTCTACAGGTTTATGGACTAACTGTTGATTTGGTTTTCATCACTACTATGTTTAATTAACAAAACTTAAAATAAATTATATTAACATAACTTCAATTCATTACAACTGATGTATTAATGTAATTTTGTCCTATCTCGAACTGAGTTTAAATAGATCTTTAAAAAACTGAATCATTAGAATCCCTAATTTCTGACTTTGGATTATAGGCGGGTGGTTTACCCCTAAAATGACACTTGAAAATGAAATATACCGTTGGATAGAAATTTTTACTAACAAATAACAACAAAAAGACAATTTACCAAATCACAAAATTTTTTCTTCATATCTCATTGAAGTAAATACTTTTTCTCTCTTATTAATTTTTCGAAAAATGCTTTCTTTTCAAATTACCTATTTGCAATTTTTGTTTAAAAAAATGCCTTCTAAAAAACTAGTAAATGAATTACAATTATACAAAAAGGTTTATAATCTTTAAAACCTTCACATTAAGAAAAATATTTTGATTAGGATATTTGATTTGATAAGGATAAGTGGTTTTTATCTTGATAAAATTATAGTTTTAAATTTAAACAAAGGTTTCTAAAAGTCGTGAGCAATATATTGCTTGAAATGCATTCAAAATATTCTTACTTGTACTTAAGGTTCAACAATTATAAATTAGAAAAAAATATCAAGATAAAATATTTATTTCAATGAGATATGACTTAAAAAAATTTACCCAAAGTGATTCACGAAATTGTTTTTTTGAGTTATTTGTTGATAACTATTTCCTGTCCACTTGTATTTATGTTCACCAGTATTTGTATAATACAATAATAATTATGGAATAATTCAAAATAAGGTAATATAAGACACAATTCATACGAAGATTTTCTAATTCTGACAAGTGTTTGATTTGGGTACACAAACATTTCTTATAAAATTTATAAGAAGACTTAAAAAAAGTTAAATTACCATTGATTACTGCATGAGTTAACATATAGAATACCTAGATCTTGCTTTCTATTTTAAAATAAATTTGTTGTAATATTTCTGTGTGTACAATGATGACATGCTCATTAAAAAACAAAAAATTTTTGGTCTGCGTCAATCCTACACTTGGCGCTTACATACAGTGTACCAGTTACTCTAATTGTGCTACGGGAAGGTCTGAGACAGGCAGCTAACCTCTAGCCGGGGTCTTGTGGTGACACAAGGCAAGAGGACCAGAAATATGTTGATGAAGAGTAAAGTCCTTGATTGTGTTGTATACACATAGATGACACTCCAAGTCAATTGAAATCTCTTGTTGCCAGCATTTTAAGTACAATTTGTGGGCTGAAAATCTGTGTTTTCAGAACTCAATTCAGACTAATCTGATGCTGACCATATTTTTTTGTTTTGAGCTATTACTGAGTTTACAATATTATTATGACTACTATTTTCTTGTTAAGAACACATAATAATTTTTGTTTTTCACATTTGCTTTTAAGATGATACCAGAAAGGCTGTCAATGTAGTGTTACCCACTGCTCCAAAAGCTTCTAGAGATTATGATGATATTAGCAATACGGTTCCTATGGAACCACCATTTTGGGCTTATCTTTCGAACTTGCCTTACGACGTGGATGAAGATGAACTTTCAGCATTTTTTAAAAACATGAGGGTAAGAACCTAATATTTTTATAAGAGAAATATTATTTTAATATACATTTTTAACTTTTCAACATCTTTTGTACTGCTGCAAAAATATGTCATTAAAAACAATCACCTCACGTCATTATTGTAGCAACTATTTTTATCAAGATTGGAATATATTTATCTGTTGAACCCGATATCAGCAGTAGTTTTGGATAAATCATACAAGGAAGGGGGAAGTAATTTGTTTATTACCAATGCAAACCTATATTGTTTGCTATAAGTATGGAAGCGATGCTGCTATAATGGGATTCTATAATTTTTTCTCTATATTAAAATGCTTAGGCGAGCGTTACAGAACTAGCGCCACGAGAAAGCGTCACGAACTAGGGGTTCTTCAAATTGATTTCTCGATCAATTCTTTTCTAGTCATCATATATTTATTTTAAGCAGGTTTTTATTAAAAACTGATGAAAACTAACTAACAAAGTACAGACATTAAATCAATTACGAATATCTACCTAATGATTGTCAAAATTTAAAAGTCAAATGTCGTCCAATTAATAACAATAAGTATTGAAACATCGTTTAAATTTTTATGACAACTCTCGTTTTGACTCGTCTGAATTTGACAGAAATAACATTCGCTTTGTTAATATGTTAGCAGGTAACGTTAGGAGCAAATAAAATTACTTTATTCAACTTTAAAAATATAGAAAACATAGTATGTAGCTTAGCACCAATCTACTGTACCATCTGTTTTTTCTTCCTAATTTCCTTTTGCGCTTCTTTGTATGGTGCCAATAAGTCTTCTAAGTCATTCTTGAATTTCAAACTCCTTTCCATAGAAGAATCCACGTCAAAAACCATATCCTGAAGTTTTTGAGCTGCTGATAATAACATATTTATTGTCCAATATTTCAAGGAGCTCGTGTTCTGTAAGTTCACTGTCATTGGCAACTAGATTTTCTTCAACAACACCTGAATGCAGATTTTAAAAACCTTTTCAATGTATTTTGTGCATCACTTGTAGAATATCATTGACTTCTGTTTTATGGGGTACTGCTGAGGTTACCATACAACTTCTAGCCATAGCTTTTTCTCACATGCATTTATAGTTGATGGGTGTATTTCATTGGTGGCTTCTTTGATAGTTACAAAGTGAGAAGTATTAAATTGACTCATAACTATTGGTAACAGTCAATGAAGAGTTTCATAAAATTGAAGATATGGCTGAATGTATGCATTAATATCATTTAAATTCAGCTATTATTCCCTGATTCAAAGGTTGTAAAAGCAAAGTGGTGTTCAAAGGTAGAAAGTTAATTCTTACATTTAAATCAATTAAGTTCAGGGTTTCTGGATATCTAGGAGCAATGTCAATAAGAAGGGTAGCAATTTTGATGCTAGGCACAAAACAGTAAAGCAGTTCGTAAACAATGTTGCCGTAACCAGTGCTTTTTCATTTGCCCTCTAAATTCCAAAATACTGGTGGTTAGTTTTTTTTCTTTTTTGCCAAGGTTTGAAATTTTGAAAAAACAAGTTACTTTGTTGCTTGAACTATTGCCATACACAATACTGGACGAATGGTTTTCTCACCCTTTTTAATAGTCCTTACAGTAGATTCATTCACTTTAAACTTTGTGGCAGTTCCAAATGATTCTCCTGCAGCTAAACAGTTTAACAACTCAATTGTTTTATCTAAACTCATTACACATCTTTTTCTTTTAACAAAATATTTACGATTCCTTACAGACGAAGACATTTTTCAGTATAAAAACTATGTACTATGTTAAAACTAGGACCGTAGAATCGCAAATTGCTGTTATCCTATGTGAAATGTGAAGGATGTGTGAAATCATCGGATGCCTGTGAATTACAGTATAGATTGTATAGAGTGGGAGCATTCATCAAAAGTTGATTGTGGGGATATCAAAACCACGGTTGACGAGTCAGCAGATAATAAGCCATACTTTTTCTGTGATTTCAGTATCTTTACATTGGCAATAAAACTTTCAGTTTTAAATCATCACTTTTCATAAAAGTACATGAAAGTGTGTACAAAGTAACAGTTAACTAATTGTCAAAACAATCATACAATATTATAAACACAAACCTATGAATACAACCTGTAATCATTGAATAATGGACATTGTAACAAACCATACCCTATATGACGTGACACCTAAGGTGCTATGAGGAAGGAAATAGCCCTCTGCAACTTATGTTCGTATGCGGTCCAAGAAGTATTATTATCTGATACACAGTCTTAGATAAAAATACAGACAGAATTTGTTAGTTAATTTTTAAGAAAGAGTTGAGTTTTAACCTTCAATAAAGAAGCACATATTTATCCATATTTATAAATTTCTTAGTAACAAAAACCCTAAAAATCCCTGAGAAAAAGTAAATTCGTGCTATGACGTGTGTTTGTTAAGACAACTAATAAAGCATATTCAATAACATCAATCAATAACATCAAAAATCAAATCGACTTCATTCTAATAAAAAAACGATTTAGAACTGCATCAAATCAGTTAAAACTTATCCAGGTGCTGACATTGGGTCCGATCACAATCCCATAGTAGCTGTAACCCAATTAAATTAAAAAAAGGTGATCAAAAAGAAGTCTCGCAAAAAGATTGATACAGCCCAACTACAAGACGAGAAAGTTAAGGAATCAGTTCAAAGACAACTGAAACGAAAATTTAATTTGGGAAAATATTGGTGAAAACGTCGATGAGGGCTTAAATAAAATCGTAACGACAGTAAAAGAAATCTGTGTGAGAAATTTACAAGGCAGGTCAAAGCCAAAAAAGCAGGCTTGGATGACAGATGATATACTGGATTTGATGGAACAACGGCGACTAGCAAAAACCAACGAAACACTTTACAATAGCATCACAAAAAGAAATTCGACGCAAAATACGAGAAGCAGAGTCAACATCTAGCCAAACAGTGTCATGACATGAAGAACTCGAAAAAAGATACGACACGTTTAACATGTATAAAAAAGTAAAAGGAAGCGGCTGGTATCTTCAATAAGAAACAAAATGCATTGCTACAGATGAAAATGGTAAAGTAATATTCGAAGTAGAGGACAAACTTAAAGAATGGGAAAATTACGTCACGAACCTAGAAGTATCTTCTCGAAGACGATAGAAGTAGTTCACCTCCCGATATTACTAACTGCGACGGACCCCTAATAACACGCTGTGAAGTTATAAAGGCCATACAATCATCAAAAGATGGCAGAGCGACTGGTCCTGATAAAATTCCAACTGAAATATATAAGCTTATAAAGGATAGCAATGTTTTAGAGGCTATAACTTCGTTTTTCAATACCATTTATACCAGCGGACAACTACCTAATGGTTGGTCTAACTCACTGTTTATAGCTCTACCTAAGAAGACAACAGCAAAAACCTGTGCTGATTATAGAACCATCAGTTTGTTAACCACTTATTGAAAATTTTTCTGAAGGTAATACATGGTCGTATCTACAATAAATGTGAGGAATACCTGGATGACACTCAGTTTGGTTTCCGTAACGGATTTGGAACGAGAGAGGCACTGTTTGGAATGAACGTACTTGCTCAAAGATGTCGTGATATATCTGTAGACATATACTGTTGTTTTATTGACTTTCAAAAGGCATTGATCGTGTTAAGCACTCTATATTGATCGAAGCTCTAAAAGACATTGGCTTGGACGGCAGAGATGTTCGAATAATTGCAAATTTATATTGGAATCAAACAACATCAGTTTTAGTAGATGGTGTGGAATCACAAGCTCTCAATATTAAAAGAGGAGTACGGCAGGGATGCCTCTTGTCACCCCTGCTTTTTAACGTTTACACCGAAAGAATTTTCAGAAAAGCACTTTCTGAAAAACAAGAAGGGAATACTTGTGAACGGCGAAGTCATCAATAATTTGCGATATGCGGACGATACAGTACTCCTAGCTTCTAGTCAAGAAGATCTGCAAACACTACTTGATAGTGTCGTTGAGAGTTGTAGGGAGGCAGGTCTGGATCTTAACATAAAGAAAACCAAAATACTTGTAATAAGTAAACAACAGAATATAAAACCGTCTATATATGTAAATAATACCAAACTTGAGCAAGTTGATAAAATCGTCTACCTTGGACAGCAATTAAATTGTAATGCAGAAAATCACGGCGAAATTAGATCCAGAATAGAGCAGGCTAGAGCTGCTTTTAGAAGGATGTCCAAGGTGTTATGTAACAGAGACCTAAAATTGGCATTAAGGATCCCGCCTACTTCGCTGCTACGTGTTCTCGGTCTTACTTTATGCTGTCGAGTCCTGGACTGTGAATAAAATCGATCTAAATCGCCTTGAGGCTTTCGAAATGTGGTGCTATAGAAGAATTTTAAAAGTTTCCTGGGTGGAGAAGATTCGTAACTCCACAATACTTGAACGTCTCAGCAAGACCACTGAGATCATAAAAAGCATCAAGCAGAGAAAGCTGGAATATTTCGGACATGTAATGAGAGGTCCCAAATATAGATTGCTACAAAATATCATGCAAGGAAAAATAGCAGGCAAACGCAGTCCAGACGAAGAAGAACCTCATGGTTGAAGAACTTGCGAGATTGGTATGGTGTAGATACAAGCATGCTATTTAGGGTGGCAGTGAATAAAATTAAAATAGCTATGATGGTAACCAACGTTCTGAAAGGACATGGTACATGAAGAAAAGAATAACATCAATATTTAATCAAAAATACAATAATATTCTGTCGTTAACAGTTTTTTAATTTGAATATTTTAATGCAATTTTGTCCCATTTGGTCTGTTAAACTTTTCTACAATAAAATAACATTGAATTACCTAAAATAATTCTGATTTCACTTTACTTTTTCACTTCACAAGTTTTGATTACACAGATGTATCTTTCAAAACCTATGGAACAACTGTCAAAACAATAGATTACAATAGATTAATAGATTACTTTTTGTTTTTCAAAATCTTAATATTCTAGTTTACAATGATGATACGCTCATTAAAAACAAAAATCTTTTTGGTCTGCGTCAATCCTACACTTGGCGCTTACATACAGTGTACCAGTTACACTAATTGTGCTACGGGAAGGTCTGAGACAGGCAGCTAACCTCTAGCCGGGGTCTTGTGGTGACGCAAGGCAAGAGGACCAGAAATATGTTGATGAAGAGTAAAGTCCTTGATTGTGTTGTATACACATAGATGACACTCCGAGTCAATTGAAATCTCTTGTTGCCAGCATTTTAAGTACAATTTGTGGGCTGAAAATCTATGTTTTCAGAACTCAATTCAGACTAATCTGATGCTGACCATATTTTTTGTTTTGAGCAATTCCTGAGTTTACTAGTTTTCGTAGTTAACAAAAGCAATTGTGATATCATCACATCATTTTGGGCATTCATTTTTTCTGGTAGTTGTTAGTTTTTCAATACTGTAATTCTTTTTGTATCAAAATATACATAAATTACTATAAATTATATATAAATATTTATACATATATAAATTACTTATAACATTTAATATTTAAATGATTTTTTACTTTCAGATAGCTAATATGAGAATTCCAAAAGATGACAGAGGAGGAGAATCGAAATCGAAAGGTTATGGATATATTGAATTTGAAGACAGAGAAAGTTTATTGGAAGCACTTTTCCTTCGTGACACTGTAAGTTTAAATGAATTGACATTAATTCTAAATATAATAACTACTCTTTTTACTGTGTACACTAAAAATGAAATGGTTTATGTAACTTACCAGATATGTATTAAATTTTTTGGATTTTTCATGCAATCATAAATTAATAATAAAAGTAAAACCCATTGAAAATTTAAAATATGTGAAAATGTATGTAATTTTTATTTTAATCTATTGTATATACAGCAAATTTTCAACTACCATATATGTTATTCAGTATGTGGAACAAAGATAACACTTAATTGTTTGAATACGAGTGAGACACAATTCACGCATGTTGGAGTAACAAGTCTAATTTTTAAACAGTGTTGCAAAATTTCTGTTACATCATTCCTTCTAAAATATTAGTTGGATACATGAGTGTAACATAATATTTAAATCCACTACAGTTCATTGCAGAATGAAAATTAATATTGCTCCAACAAAACTTACATGAAGTATCATGAAACTGTTATTTTTAAACGATTATATATTACTTGAGAACATAATTTGAGAAATTGATATACAACACACAGCGTGAGCTAAATAAATAAATAACACTTTGGTAGACATGACAAATAGTAAAAACGGTTTGAATGACCTCTAACTGAAGCTTTAATAAACAGTAAATTCTCGTTTTCGTTTCAACATTTATGACCATACCCAGAAAGTTAATTTCAAACAAAAAAAATTGAAAAAAAATTTGATTTAAACAATTTGTTAATTTATAAAGAGCACTATAATTTTGTAAGAAATATATATATAAAAAAAAAGAATTATCTCAATATCTGCCATAGTTTTTGCGTTATTTTATTTAAACTTTTACATTGAATTTAGCTATGCCCAGAATAGCAAGGAACGACCTTAAGTTTCAGTCATCACAACTTTTTACATGGTGCATATTTCTTTAACAGCTACACATAAATAGAAAGTTTGAACCTATTTTAACAATTCAATATTGAAAAAACTGGAAGAAACATTCTTTTTCATTGAGTTAACAAACAACTAGCTTTTCGTCCTAGTAAGAGAAACAAGCACATACTGGCCCAGGCTTGCTTCGGACGCAGCGCTGCGGTGTTTGACTTACTGAATTTTGAATAAACATTCATTTATGGCATTAATGATTTATATGTATGACATTAGTATTAATGCTTTAAATAATTATAATAAATAAATAAATAATAATTGTGGAAATCTATATTCAATGTTTTAATACTACAGTAAAGTACAGATAATCATTTTATTTTATTGATCATACTTTTAGCTTCTTTTGTCTGTATTAATTTTCACATTAAACAAATAGACAACCACCAATTATGTTTGTCACAAGTTCATATCTGTGATTTAGATGTCCAAAACAATTTTCAGATTCATAAGGTTTTTTAACGATTCAGCTCTTTAAACAAGATCAATATTGTGTATCCATAACTTTTATCTTATTTTATTAAAGATAAATTTTTTCAATTACAATTTATTAACAAAATGTATCTATAGAATATAGAGATCATTTTTATTTAAATTTGCAGACATTAAAATCTAGAAGAATGAGGATAGAAGTAGCATCAAATATGGATAACGATAGGCGAAGAGGTAGAATGGACATGAATCGTGACAGGCAACAAGATCGCAGTGATTCTTTTGGTGATTGGCGATCCGGACCAAGGGCACCTTCTGACAGTATGGATAATCGTCGAACAGGTTTCAATAGAGATCGAGACGGCGGTGGAGGTGGCGGAGGATTTACTAGAGAAGGAATGCGTGATAGAGATGAAAAAAGTTTTACTCGTGAAGGAATGAGAGATCGTGATTATGGTAGAGATAGGGACAATCGAGATTTTGGACGTGACAGAGATAGTAACAGAGACTTCAATAGAGATAGGGATAGTAATAGGGATTCATATAGAAAAGATATTGATGATCGGCCCGGTGGATGGAGAGATGGAGATAGACAAAATAAAGATGATCGTGACAGGGATAGGGGTAAGTTAACGTTACATATACTTTACTGAAATATACATTAACCCTGCAGTCGTGACGTGAAAAAAGTTACACCAGTGGTGACCACAGTCTTTCAAACTGTGTTTATGTTTTAGCCTTGTATTTGGAGAAAAAAGAACATCTATTTTTTAAATATTTATTATGTTACATAGTAATATTAAATATGTTAAATTACTTATAATATTGTTTAAAAATGAAAGTGATTGGTTTATGATGTCAATAATATATAATTGGAAAAATAAAACTAGGCCATTAGATCTGTTTTGTACGCACTTTGCACAAATACCGATCAAGTGTTCAAGACACAGAGATACTTTACACTTGCTACAGGCAAACAGTTGTTTTTATTTGTTTTCCAGTCATCACACGACGTGTAGCTCCTGTTTTCTCTGGTTAAGATTGTAAATTGAGCTCTGAGGCATCAGTCAGTTCTCTTAGTCTTAGGCAAGTGGATATCAGCTGACCTGAGCGTAGGTGCATGTGTCAGTTGATTAACAAGTGTATATAGGAAAGTTCTCCGAGGTACGAGATTATCTTCTTCAGCGTTTCATTTATTAGAGTGTAAAAAAGTACCATTGACCACCTTCTTGTATTTCTCGGGACATTATAATTCTCTGGCATCATGTTTTTTATGTTATAAAAAAAACTCACCTCTACAAATTATAAAATATTAAGATGTGAGTAGTGACCACGGTGTGAGAGTACAGGTTTTGAGAACAGTAGTCGATGCTGCACAGGCAAAGATTTGTCAGTAACTGAACACTACAGGCTGAAAGGTCGACTCCAGTTAGCGAGTGCAGACACTACTGGAATGGGCAGCTTACGCATTATGTTGATAAATAAAATTTCTTAATTATTTGAAGGCATGGTCTGAGAGACTTTGTCACGAATGCAGGGTTAAAAAAAACTAATAGTAATATGTTAGTCATTTTTGTCTCTAAATAATTGGGTGATGACTAAGTCTAATTTGCGATTAAGAATTGATTATGATATATTTGTGGATATTTGCAATAAATTTAGCACAGCATATATACTCATGGACAAAAGTATCAAATATTTTGGAATTTTCCAATTTTTTTTTGTAGACACTATTTTTTCAAAATAATTTTAGGTTACTGATGATACTCATATAATAGTAGACTGATGTACTCAACTGGTTTGAAATATTCTGACTTTTATTCAGTGTTTAGTGACATTCGTACATTTTATCATAAATAACTTTCTACAAGTAAAGGAAAAATCATATTTATTTGGATATTTTCAATTTAATTTATTAAGTTTAATTAAATATTGTTTTGATTTAACTTAATTTTAAGTTAAAAACAAGTATGCCACCAATTCGACACTGCTATGAAGCCTGAGTAGCACAGATTGTAATATTGTACGAGGAAGGATACACACAAAAAAATATTGCACGACGTCTCAGGAGAAGTCAATCTACAGTTTCGAATACTTTTAAAATGTACCGCGAAACAGGAAATTTTGTACAAAGGCCTGGTTAAGGACGTTCAAGGTGCACAACCGCAATTGATGACCGTTTTTGGTTCTTAATTCTACACGAAATCGTTCATTGACATTGATGCACCTCAGAAATGAGCTATTAAATGCTAGACAAGTTAATGTGAGTTCAGAAACAGTTAGACGAAGATTAAAAGAAGCAAACTTAAGTCCAGATGACCCGCCAAAGTTGCAAGTCTTCTCCAAAATCATAAAGCATGTCATTGGAATATCGACAATTGGAAAATGTTCCTTTAACTGATGAGACCAGAGTCCTAGGTCCTTATGGAAGCCAGAGGGTCAAAACCACGTCTACAGAAGAGTTGAAGAACAATTCGCCAGCTGCAATCTTGCCCAGACCGTTAATTTTACAGGTGGTGGCATAATTCCTTGGGATGGTTTTAGTTGGGAGGTACATACCACACTTGTGGAAGTGATTGGACGGATGAATGGTGACTCTTGCGTTTAAAACATCCTGTAAGATCATGTTTTGCCATATGTTTGTTACATTAAATATAAAAGATTCATGCACCGTTTAGCCCGCATTTAAATCAATAGAGCACATATAGGATTACCTTAAATGCCGCATAAGACAAAGAACTCTCGTTCCAAATATGATAGAGCAACTTCAGCTTGCTGCATAGGATCAATGGAATGCAATTTCCCAAGAATATATCCAAAATTTACTTTCAAACATGCCTTGAAGGATACAAGCAGTAATATGAGCTAGAGGGGAGAATACTCGTTACTGGTCATGCTCTTCTTTTAGTTAAAAAGACTTGTTTAAGTATTTTAAATTGGCATTTAAGTTTAGAGTAAAATACACTTATTTACCTAATATTAAGCATTTATATTTTCGCAATTTTCTCCGCATAAAACTAAAATTGTTCATTAAAGATTGTTAAAATAAACTCTATTTCACAATAAATGACTTGATCGACCAGAATTTATTTTGAAAAAAACAAAAATTAGAAAATTTAAAATATTCCGATATTTTTGTCCATGAGTGTATTTGTGCAAAGCACAAAAAATTGAACTCACAATTTGATTTTCATCTACAAGAATAACCAAATAAAGAGTATTCTGAATGTTAATCAATTAAAAATCTTATGTATGTTTAATAACAAGACTAGATTGAATGGAGGATAAAAACAATGAAAAATGATAAAGAAAGTTGATAAAACTCGTTTTCTTGCAAAAGATGAATTTGTGAGGTTTTTGAAGTTTAAAACATAATATATTATTGTTATTTGCAGGTTTCAACCGTGATAGAGGAAATTTCCGTGACTCTGACAGAGGTAGCCGATATGATGATGATCGAAGAGGTGGGGGTTTCGGTGGAAGAAGGTTTGATGACAGAAGAGATGATAAGGACAGAGATAGACGGGATGGATTTTCAAGGAGAGATGACCGGGATACAGAGTCGTGTAAGTAATTATATCCTTTCCCCCCTTTGAAGGATTTTACAAAGATACAATTAGTCATATATCATTTGTATTACAAGATGACTTACATTTTCTGTTATATAGCGGAACCACGTGAAAGGCCAAAATTAATGTTAGCACCAAGGACAAAACCAGTAGAAGTTGTACCTGTAAATACTACAGAATCAGTGCCTTCAGCTTCTATATTTGGTAGTGCAAAACCTGTAGATACAGCGCAGCGAGAAAGAGAAATAGAAGAGAAAATTGCCAGAGAGGCTGATAAACCAAGAGAAAGTAGTAAAGATAGAGATGAGAATAGAAAGCATGAAAATAGTGAACGAAAAAATGTAAGTAAAAAATATGAATATATAAAAAAAAAGTTCTAGTAATAAAACTTTTTAAGGAATGTGCTATTCTGAAACATTTTTTGAATTACAAAATTTTTTATTATTCAAAACCATCTTTTTTTTTTATTTAAAGACTAGTTTGGTCTTTTTTGTGGTATCTTATAACCAATGTTCTTGTTAGTCAGTTCTCTTTTGCTATTCGCTCCGTGCGTGACCATGGTAGGGGTACATTGAAACGATGCCAGCGTGCGTAGCGGCGAAATATGACAAAATTGGAATATTGGACAAAATATTTTTACGCATAAGTTTTATCAAAAATGTGTGCAAATAACATGTTTGCGTATTTAATTCTGCTAATAATAGCAAAAACAGTGAGTGTAATTTTTATAGGTTTCCCAAAGATTACATATAAATTAGAGAAAAGAAAAAGATGAATTCGTGCTATTAATATGAAAAAGTAAATATCACATAATTCATTTTTATGCAATTGAAATAGGAACAATTTAAATAATTTACCTTGAATGATATTTCATAAGGCTTCAAGCTAACTGCAGATGACTTTAGCTTTTATATCATAACTTTTACTATTATTGTTTTTAATTATATGCTCTTTTGCGTGAAAAACTTGATTTGCCAGTACTAGATTTTTCGCTTTCTTTTCCGTTTGGAGTTGAAAAGATATATTATGATGAATTTTGAGAATCTCAGTTTTTAATACTACATTTATTTTGTACATAAACTAAAAAAAATATAGTTAAAAAACTAATTTATTAATAATTGTCAATTTCGCATGTATTTAACAATGTCAAACATATGTCCATATATTTAACCTGAAAATTGGGACTCCAAAATTGTCAGATGAAGGCGGTAGGTGTCGCATCAGTCACGCACGGAGCGAATAGGTCTAAATTTTTAGTTCTCAAGTTCACCCAACATTCTCTAAATGTTTAAAATCCCACTGTGCACTGTAAAAAAATTGGATACTTATCTCATTAACAATTTTATGAATACTACTCAACTTATTGATAACTAACATAAATAATAATGTTCTTTTAGGTAGATAGGATTGAAAGAAGTAAGCCGCCACCACGCAGAATAGATGATAGTCCATCTAGAGATAAGGATCACAGAGATGGACCTAGAAAGAACTGTAAGTATTATACAGCACATCGGAAGTACAGTACATTCAACCAACTTACACCTCTAAAGGATTAATAGAATTTGCAGAAAATCTTTTGTTGTAGTAAAATGCATAGTAAACTGCACTAAAGTTCTCCATAATCCTTATTATTTACTTGGTTTAGAATATTTTGCCTGTATTATCAGTTGGTTTAACTATTGGATTATCAGTAATTGTTGGTTTTTCATTACATTTCGGTATTTCCAGTAACTCTGATTTGAAGGCGTATTCCGAAAAATTGATATTATCTTAAACTAACCAATTTTTTGGTTATGTTTCTCCAAAATCTGCGAATGGTAAGGTGCATTATCTAAAACTTTAACTAATGGTTCACTCAGACTAGGTAACAGTTTCTCCTCAAGCCATTTAACAAACATATCTGCATTCATGTTTTGCGAAGATAGCGAAGTCTTTGACTTCGTATCTGTGTGTTTTATTGGTTTTATGCTGTCGTCTTGCCACATTCTTTTAATTTTACCCTTTGCAAATATCCATGTCTCATCTAAGTGTATGAATGTTGCATTTTCAGATTTAAATTTAGTATATTCTCTCAAAAATTTAATTCTTTTTTGAACCACACTACTCCTTTCGCGTAAAAGTATCCTATTATTTTCTTTTTTGAATTTAAATCCTAAATCTCTCAACACTTTCCAAATGCTAGTCCTCTCAATCTCAGAAACTTATCTTTCTCTTAGTTTGGCCAGTAAAGTATTAAAACTGACATGTTGATTGTTTTAACATGCTCGATACAAAACATTGCGAATTTTGAGTTGTTTTCTTCTCTTCTCATGATACTCAGTCACAGTAAAATCTTGAGAATCTTGAGACAGTCTTCACTACAGATTTTAGGTTTCTTTCGTTTATCCCGATTGCGTCACAAACGCATTGATTTATACATAATAATGACTTTAAAGGTGCACCATCTCTTTCCATGGTAAAGTATTTATGCACATTTACAATTCATCAATATCCAACTTTAACGTCTAGGCATGATGGTCACTTGAAACTACTACAGGTAAAATATAATATAACCGCTTACAAAGAACCTAAACACATTAAGCAAATTAGCCTAATGATAATTAGGAATGCCGATCGTAATTTAATTGTATGATAAAAAGTTAAGAAATGGTTGAAAACCATTGAAATTTTTAGTATAAGTATTTTCATTTTAAAATAAAAAGTTAAATATATTTACTAAAACGCTAACTTTAAACCCGTAATTGCAGACGTCTCAAAAACGGTACACTCTAACAGGCATATGGTCAATCTAATCACCAGTATTTAAATTGACAAAATGTTGTAGTTTACTCCCGAAGTATTTTTTAACAAAAATTAAAAGTGATATTTTATTACTTTGAATATAAATTATCCTTAGTACGGTAGTATTTGTTTCAGAAAAAAAATATTAAACAAGTGGGTGATATAAATTTACGTTAAATAACATGCAAGAATACTATTTACGTATTTAAAAAAAAAGTGTAACAAAATATGCAAAACTATGAACAACGGGTAAATGACATATTTATTTTATACCTAAAAATTAGCAAAGTGTTAAACATTATGGAGAACACCAATGTAGTTTACCGTGCCTATTATTACAACGAAAGGTTTTCTGCGAATTCCGTTAATCGTTTTGAGGTGTAAGTTGATTGAATGTACTGTATGAAGAGAATTAGTATTAATGAGTGTAAAAAATTGTGAAAATTGTTTAGGACAGAATTATCGACATATAGGCAAAAAATAAAATCACATTTTCAGTAATTCACACATGTACACAAGTCCAAAACACAATTCTTTAAATACATCTAATTGATGTTCTAGATGATGACAGAAAATTACCTCCTAAAAATGATCAAAAATCACCAGACAGACCTGATAATAGGCACAAATATGATAAGTCTGAAAAGCCCAAGCGGGAGGAGAAAAGGTAAGCAACAAATATATTTATTGCTTGTTTTACAATTTCGCTATTTCATCAATTCTACAAAATAAACTTTAAAAAATCGGTGTATGTATTTAACTAAAACAGTACATTTTTATCCACGAAAAAAATTAAATAAAGCAAATTATAAAAAACACATAAACTAATGATTAAAAAATTCTGCAAACTGCTAGATTGGCGATCATCACAGTGCATCTATACCACCATCTTAACTTGCTCACAGTTGACTTGACTTGACAGTCTCAGATGTTAATCTGAGGTGGGTAGGCCATGTAATGCGGATGGAGCAAACCGACCCAGTTAGAAAAACGTTCCTTGGTAGACCTATTGGTCAAAGGAGAAGAGGAAAACCCAGAACAAGATAACATAGATCAAGATATGAGAAATATGGAAATACGTGCTTGGCGGAGGAAGACGATGGATAGAGACGACTGGAAAAAAAATCTTAGGGAGGCTAGGACCCACACAGGGTTGTAAAGCCAAAATGAACCAATTCAATATTTAAATGAAACAATTCAACGTAGCAACAAAATGTAGTTATAAAAACACAACCCAAAAAGTCAATGTCAACAATGTAAATTTTCATGGTACAATAAATTGTTTATTCTACCATGGTAAATTTTAGTTTCATAAACAGCGCCCCTCTGTGCTACTTACATGCGTAGAAACAAATGTGACCAATTTTCCTTATCTTTTAACCACTCTTTCTTTTTTTATCACTCGATGATACAAACCTCGTTGTGGATGCTAGTCTAGACTCCTGCGGAGGTTGAGTATGTACTTTTATGTCCCCTCAGTACCTTGGCATTTTTTGTTGCATAGATTCGATGTTTCGAGGGTACCAGGCTGAAAACCCGTCAATGTCTGTCCAGACTGTCAACAATATAACCAGCGTGTTTACTTAAGTCTCATTCAAATAGTAAATATTACAGTCATTCTGCTTATATTGTCTTATTGCAAGTATCGTTGCCTCCACGATATAATTTCATTTTTTTTCCTTTAAAATTGTACTCGCTGAAAATTGAAAGTTTTCTATAAATTTGGTATTTTTGGGTTTTCTAAAACTTTTTACATAATTTTTTGAACTGTTGGAAGTTGCTCATTTGGTAAAAAGAAACTGAACAATTAGTTGAATTGCTCTTTGTTCATAAGTGATTTCATCAAGCACTTTTTTAGATTTTTGATGGTGGTTCCATCAATATTTTGGCGTTCTTTTAAAATATTATCTACAGATGATTTGTTTTATACCTAAAATTATTTTTAAAACAGTTTTAATCCCTATCTCAGATGCTTTTTTATATCTATTTAAAATTACAGTTTTCCTAAACAGTAAATTTTGTTTTTTTTTGTACTTCTTCTTGGAGGTGAAAGAGGCATTTCCATTCATATTTAAAACAACCGAAATTCTAACCCAAACTGATTTTATTTAATTACGATGTGTACACGGCTTCTACGGTTTAGTTACAAACGTGTGCAACCTTGCAGACTGTCAATTACAACAAAAAATCTCACTAAATATGCGTACTTGAGATTCTGTTTATTGTGGACGTGCCCGACCATAGCATTTTTTCAAATTTAAAACTAAGTTTTTATGTTACATTTTTTATTTATTTTTTTCAGAGACAGGTATGAAAAGGATATGCCAAAATTGACTGAGCCAGAACCACCGAACTTCGCCGCCAACAACAAGTTCGCTTTTCTGCCAACAGATTCCGATTAGCAATACGTGATTATTAAATGGTGTAAATATTTTCAATAAACGTTTAATAAAATATGAACTTTTTAAAACGAATGTGAAACGGTTTTACATATTTATTGTTTTAGTCATAGAATATATTTTTTGTTAAATACAAAAAAACCAGTTTGTATGTGTATTTTTTTGTTGAAAATTTTATTGTAATTTGTGTTAATGAATTACATATTTATTTCCACTGTTATAATTTTTTACTATGAAGAAAAATAGTCCCTGAGTTCACTTGGAAGATTCTGAAAATGTATAATCTATTAAATTAAGGTTGTTGAAAGAAATGGTTAGGGATGATCTCCGTGGAGCTGTTTCACAGAGCAGACAACAAAACCATAATAGCCTTGATGATCGCCAACATCCGGACCGGATAAGGCACTGAAGAAGAAGAAGAAAGAAATAGATTAGATCAGGGGTTCCCAATTTTTTTTTTGTCTCGGAACCCTAATCGACGATATTTTTTGACAGAACCCTAATTGATATTTTCCCCTATTTTGATAAATAAAACCTTGTAGTTTGAATATTTTTCATGTTAGACTGAAAGAAGGAAGAAATTATGAATGAAAAATAATATAAGGATTACAAAATATTTATTACACAATTAAATAACTATACTTATTTCAAGGTGAAGAATAAAATTGAAATGAATGCGCAATTCAATTTCACCATGAACACAAGAGCTCACGTGCCGCAGCGCCAGCACTTCTCAAGGCTGGGTAGCCGGTGGCTTACCCTCACCACTCAACCAAATAGTTTAGGATGTTTGCAGCGCACCATACCGGGGTTTAAGCGAAAAGATGTAATTATATGTAGTTTGAGTGTTTTCTACGAATGTTTTATTTAACTATCGGACGGACGCGGACCACCATTTAGGAACCGCTGGATTAGATGATTCACTACAGTGGCAGATCTAGTGAGGGGGGAATTTCCAATGAAACGCCAGCCATGACATAAAAAAGATAAACCCAAAAGACTTTGGACCTTGGGGGAGGGGGATTTTTCCCTCTTCGTGTATCCGCCTCTGATCCGCTATAAATAAAAACTTATTAGGCATGTATCATGCTGCTACAGAGTATTTCACTTCACATTAAGAACTGAGCGTTGCGTAGATAGGGCTACGCATTTCTTATGAACGAAAGAAGCGCGCCGGTGCGAAGACAAGCACAAAAGCAATTCAGGGTTGTATTTTCTTTTCCACGGAAATGAATTTTTCTACCGTAACTGACCAGAAGTGCCCATCAGACAAAAAAATGGGGAAATGATTTTAATTAAATAAATACATATTTACAAAGGATAATTTTAAATTAAAGGTTAATTGTTTTTTGCTGAGAATACATGCCATTATAATCATGGTCATTACATACAAATCAATTATCTTCGTACCTATAATACAAGGCTTTGTGGTTGTTTAGTAGTTATTCTGACTTCACAGTTCATTGAGAATGGAAATTCAAAAATTAAGCGAAGGGAGTATCTTTGACATGTATGCAAAACAAATTATTTTAAATGTATTTAATTATCATCTACATTTAAAGATTTGTGAACGTGTTTAACAAGTTGAATCGATAAAGTAAGTGTTCAATCACAAATTAACCCCTTAATTTGTAATCTCACATTATTCTTAACTTCTTAATCTTTTATTGTTTCACCGTGTATAAGTGACATTGCAAAACCATATCGTATGATAATTTAATAATTAGTTCATTTACCTACAACTAAATAAATTGCCGAATAATATATTTTCTAATTGAACTTCTTAAGTGTCGCAATTAAGGCGTAGATTAAATGGTATTGTAAGCAAAGTTAGGTGGTATGGTATGATAGAAAGCAATGACCTATGTGCTTAGGTATGGATTATTTGTTAGATTACAAATTGGGGATTTGAGCTCCTATGAACACAGTCAATATTAAGTAGTTACCTAACGAACATCAGATTGTGTAATTACCAGTAGCTATCAATAAATCATCACTTTTACTCCACAACTTTAACCTTTTATCAGAGAAGCGACACGAGCCCCAAAATCCGTGTATCTTTTCTGTATACGCATGTCCGAAATTGGTTGCTTTACTGTCAAAAACACGTGCGTTTTCTTCAACTCTGGTTGCTTACGATAGTCCGTAGACACCTGTGGTAAATTCTCAAGTGCATTTGACCATTTATCTAATTTACTTAGTAGTTAAAAGTTTATAGTTATAGTTAAAATATAAGTTATATAAGTTTATAGTTAAAAGTTTAATTTATAAGTATTTAAAATGTCTTCTGGTTATTGTTGTGCGTTTCGCGGATGTTCATCTGTGACAGGAAAAGGAATAAGTTTATTTAGATTTCCTAAGAATAATACCAGGTAATTACTATTGCTTTGTAATTATTATTAGTTATTACATAATGGTATTAATTTGACTTTCGATCAGTAAGCCGACGCCGACGTGTCCGTCCGAGCTCTCGTCAAGTGGAGCAATAAAAAAATAAATTTTGGTCGGCCAAGGGATAGTTCAAAATAAAAACCAGAGAACTACGAACCCACATTAAATTTATTGTCTCCGAAGGCTCAGGTCAAAAAATCAACAGATGTTGGCCTACTGGTGTGAAATCGCTCGCAGACAACAATACGAATATAGTATTTTTAGGAAATAAAAATATATAGAGGGTTTTATACACGAGAATATTTGATTTAAACGAAACAAAGAAATTCCTAAAATGCTCAAACTAAAAATTGTTGGAAACATAATTAGACCGATAATTGGGAAAATCTTAAAATTACAACAGAACAAGACATCAAAATAAAAACATGATTGCAAATAAACAAACTTACATTAACATAACTTCAAATATTTGCTGTCTTTTTCACCAAACAAACTTACATTAAATTATGAAAAAACTAAATGCTCATCTACTTTTTGCTATATACAAAAGTTGTCTGTCAATGTTTAATTCGTTAAATATAAATAACAAAGATCAAATATATGGATCGGAGTACACAACATATTTAGGGAATAAATATTTAAATGGGAATTACAAATAAAAAATATTAAAACTTTATTTGTTGTATATCTCAATATTTAGTGACAATCGGGAGAAAACTGTAAATTTATTAAGATGAGATATTGACAAAAGTTAAATACTTCATTACTTACAATACACTTAGAATATACTAATACTCTTATAGTTGTAAGTAATGAAGTATTATTTATAAATACAAAAAGTTCTTTGTTTAAAATTTGTTCTGTTAAAAATTTGTAGTGCCAAAATGTGGATAGAAGCTTGCAGACGAGAAGATTTATTGTTAAAAATGGATATACTTTATAATAGTTATAGGATTTGTGAACTACATTTTGAAGATAATCTTATTGTCAAAAAAAAATAAAAGAAAAATATTGGTGCATGACGCAGTACCTTCCAAATTTCAATATAATACGATAAACACAATTGGGAAATCTTAAAATTACAACAGAACAAGATTTCAAAATAAAAACATGATTGCAAATAAACAAACTTACATTAACATAACTTCAAATATTTGCTGTCTTTTTCACCAAACAAACTTACATTAAATTATGAAAAAACTAAATACTCATCTACTTTTTGCTATATACAAAAGTTGTCTGTCAATGTTTAATTCGTTAAATATAAATAACAAAGATCAAATATATGGATCGGAGTACACAACATATTTAGGGAATAAATATTTAAATGGGAATTACAAATAAAAAATATTAAAACTTTGTTGTATATCGCAATATTTAGTGACAAGTTTGTGACTAAATCAGGAGAAAACTGTTAATTTATTAAGATGAGCCAATAATTTAAAGGTAAATGCTCCAAATATACATGTCTACTTCAAGAAGTTAAAGGTTACGGAGTACCAAGCAAGCTTTAAAGTTTCATATCCATTGGATTATAAAAATGAAGTTCTCAATCCCAGTATCTGGCCTGAAGGTTCAATGGTTCGTCGTTTTGACTTCAAGTATAAGAATTGTACTAACCGCCGTTAACAACAAAACCAGAAATAATTGTTACAAATCCGGCTTAGGCAAACTAGATACTACAAATAATTTTAAAGGCAATACCAATCAACTAAAAATCGTATGTATTAACTCTGAATCTATTGTAAACAAAATAAATTGTATCGAAATATTAGTTAAAACTGAAAGTCTGGATTTACTATGTATATCCGAATCATGTGTAATGACAATAATATAAATTCGTTTTATCTTCCTAATGCTCTCTTGTAATGATTCGTAATACTTTTTTGATTATTTTTTAGGTTATTACATTTTTATATTTATAGAAATATACTCGTACAATAGTTACTTCTTGATTTTTTATTCGTTTTAGTCGAATATCGTTTACTCCAATATTCGACTTTAAAGGAAAAATGTAATTTTAATAGGTTTCCAAGACATTAACAATCGATATCAATATAAAGTTTCTTGTTTCTCAGTCTCACCCAAAGAGAATTGGAATTTTTAGAGTTTGTGAAATTTCCGTGGCAGTTACAATGGCTTTGTTATTTTTCGATTATATTACGAAAGATAATTTATTAGGAAATTCCACGACGAACAAATTATATCTTGTATCAACACAAGCCAAAAAGAATCGGTGTATTATTGTATTATCAATGCCAACATCAGAATAAACAAAAAAGTATTTTCGTCTATGGTTCCATCAATACGATTTTCACCATTACTTTGCGTTGTGCGATGTATTTGCAACCTTTTGTAAATCAAAAATAATTACACCATTTAGAATGTCAACAAAAGCCGGCCCTGCATGTAATTATTTTTTCAGTGCAATATTTCATATTTATTGAAAGTCAACATAAATGCTCAATTGTATTTAAGAATTTATATTGTGTGATATGCCCACTGACTATTAGTAAATTGGTTGCTTTCCTGTCATTTTCACTCGTTGGCGGCTTGCCCACGCAAGATCAAAGGAGTGTCGCTTCTCTGCTTTTATACCTATCATCTTCGATCGACGAGAAGCGGACAAAGGGGCATTTACTAACCGATTCGAACCTCACAACTACGTTCGAAACTTTCCAGTAAGTGATATGACGGGAGTAGGTTTAGTCTTCTTCTTCTTCTTCTTCGTCTAGCCATTCACGTCCACATCTGAA